AGAAGAAAAAAGCTTCCCCTTCTCCCAGGGAAGTTGTTTTGGTAATTATCTATTCATAACTAGCATTTGAAACATTTTCAAGATGTCAGGGTCTTAATGATTTCTAGCTTTGTTTCTTACAATGTAGGAGGCTACATCACAATACTTGAGCTTTAATATTAAAGCATTGCTTTCCATTTGTATTGTTTTTTAAGGTAAATTTTATTTTGCAATATTTATCCATTAATGATCCAAGTTCTTTCCTCTAGAGAACCTCAGAGAATACATCTAATTCATCTTTCACATACTTCCCCAAATTTGAAGTTAGCCATCATGTCAATTTGAAATCCATGTCCTCTTCTCCAGGTAAACATCCCGTTTCTTCAACTATCACAAAACAGTTGTCAAACTTCATAGTTTTCATGTTTTACATGTAAAAACTGTATCCAAACCTCTAATGCAATGCGACTAAAGCAGGTACATTACTACTATTGCTTCCTTTTTTCTAGATCTTTTAACTATTAAAACAGAGTTATTTCTGCAGCACAATTCCTATCACCCTGTTGGGATTGGAATTACACTTAAATATTATTGTTATTTCTTTGTCAAATGTACTATAAAGCCAGATTTTTCCCCATGCTGGACTCACATAATAGATTGTTTTAGAACTGAAGGGCAGGACTTCACATTTATGAGTATTGATCTTAGGGTTGTCAGCCTGCTGAGATTTTTGAATTGTCATTCATTGTACTATCAGTCTTCTCTGGATCTGTATTATTGGTAAGTTTAGTAACTGTGTTTACTAGTGCATGAAAATAAATCGCATGAGGCCAAGGACATAAGGACTGATGTAAGCCACCAGAATTCTCTCCAAGTTGGTATATTTCAACCACCACGGTTATACTTGTGGTTCTCAAACTTTATCGTGCACACTGGCCTGGAGGACTTGTTAAAACAGATTGCTGACCTCATTTCTTTCTGAGAGTTTGCATTTCTGAAGAGTTCCCAGGGTAAATGTGATGAATACACTTTGGGTACAGTTAATTGTTCAACCGGCACCCATCACAGACCATGAGATTCCTTACAGACCTTTCAATATGAGGTTTGGCTTGATTTATTCTTATGCTGGATTTAGGCTGATATATTTCGTCCTGGTGTACAAATTGATTAATTACATTATGGTTCCACTGCCATAATTTTAAAGCTTTCAATGAGAACAAAAGTATAAGTAGTTCAATTTAGTTAGAGCCTAAACTGGCCAACGCTGGTAACTCCAGCGTTGTTTCAAATGTTTAAATGTCAATATTGTCAAAGACTAAGTAAATTCTTTCAGAGAGATATTGCCGTTTCCAAGGAGAGATGTCGCAGTTTCCAAAGAGATCTAAGTTCACACAGCTCTCCATTATAAACTAAAGGGAACAATCAGTCTTCTCACTTTGACAATCTGTCAGCAACAGACACTGAATTACAACTCTAAGGAGTTGACTGCACACCAGAAAATGTGGAGCCAAGGAAGAGAAATTTCAAATGCCCTCTGGTGTTAAAAAGAAGAGACCGTAGCCCTGGCTGGTTTGGCTCAGCGGTTAGAGCATCGGCCTGTGGTCCAGAGAGAACAGGGTTTGGTTCCCACTAAGGGCACGTACTCGGTTGCAGTTTGTCCCCAGCCCTGGTTGGGTTGTGCGGGTGGCAACCACTCGATGTGTCCCTTTCATGTAGATGTTTCTCTCTTTCTCTCTCTCCCTCCCACTCTACTTGAACAAAAAAAAAAAAAAGGAAAAATGTCCTTGGGTGAGGATTAAAAAAAAAAGGAGACTGTAGTTTCTCCTGCCAAAGACATTAAGACTCCACTGAGATTTGGCAGATTCTGGTACACAAGTCAAAGCAGTGGTCTATTATTTTGTATAATAAATACTGTGCAACTTGAGTGTAGCAGCTGTTTACTGGCCCTCTACCCTCAGCCCAAAATATGCTCAGACGACAGTATTTTCACTTCATTTATTCCTTTAAAACAAGTCATTTCATACAGCATTTGGATATATAAAATCACACACCTCATAAATAAAATCAATGCATCTTGGTGACAATGGCAATGTCATATAAGAGTTGTACAAAATAAAACTGGACATCTCCCAGATAGCAGCAGTGCATTCACTTTGAAAAAAAAAACATTCTGGCAAAGAGACCAAAGAATATTTTTAAAACAAGAGAACACTGTCCACTTTCATTAAGAAAAATATTTTCTTATAACAAGAAAGAACTTTGTTCTTCCCGACTACTTTTTCAAGCTGTGGTCTAAAGCTCTAGGTGTGACGGTCTTGTGGTTTTCTTCTTGCTTTAGGTATTCTACTGCATTAATACGGAAAATACATATCGCTGGACAAGCTATACATATTTATTTTGAACCTTAAGCTGAATTCCTTACTTTTCAAAAGGAAGAATTACTTTTTGTGAAGGAAATTATATTTCCTGTAAACAACTTGAGTCCTGAATGGCACAAGGTAAACTGGAAAACGGATGAGAATTGGATGCTCCGGTCCTTTAAAATAACTTACGGGCTACAAATCACTACATAGCATATACCAGTTATAAAGTCAGGCTTATGTTATTTTAGTAGAAATTCTAAAGCTTTCTTAGGTTAACCTGTTTTTTTCTTTAACCTACAACTTAACCAAATCATATCTTCACTATTCCTAAACTAGTTGTAGGTCTGTATTTTTAAAAATAAGTATAAAAGAACATCATAACAAAATGCTTATATTCATGATTTTATACTTTTTGACCAGCTTTTCAGTTACTACCCTGCTACATTCTATGCCAAGAAATGGGGGAGGAGGTTTAAGGTCACACAAAGGTATTGCTTAAAAAATTTTTCAAAAAGCACAATTTATGACTAGGAATGCATTTAAGGATCTCTTCTGTTTAAGTGGTACTTTATCCTCCTGCCCCTTTCTTCCTTCACTATAAAATAGCATGGGAAGGTTATCAATCTCCTTTGGAGTCATCTGAACCATGATCTAAATCAGCACCCCACAATTTAGTATCAGTGTAATAAATTCTTCAAAGTCAAATATTCCAAGCACTGTAAACAAAATACAAGCCAATTTTTAAAGAAGAAAAAAAAAATTCCTTTCCCACAATCAGGGAAGTTTTCTATTCTAAATTGGATTAAATGTACTGAAATATAATTTTAAACTAGGCTATTCAAATCAAGTGTTTCATTGTACTCTTAAAAATATGTTGCTTATTACGTATGATACTTTTAAGGCCTCTGACTCAAAAATCAGCTCCTTTAAAGTAAGTTTGCTTAGAAACAAAGGACGAGTTTTACAAATCTAATTTTTTCAAAGTTGTTATAGTCATCTTTGAGCTACAGGTCAAATTTGAATACTGCACTGTACAATGAATGATAAAGAACAATCACGTTATAGAATTAACGTTTTGAATGGTAGGGCACAGAACATGCTCCTAATAGCTACTGAAATTGTGTGCTGTTATCAAAACCCCAGAATGCTGTACCACTGGAGACACTATGCATTGATGGTAATTACTAATTATGAACAGCCGATTGTAAGCAGTTCAATACTTGTATTTTAGTATCTTTAATAAGATCCCTGGAGAGGGCTAACATGTAAACTTTTATTTCATATTTTTTAAAGTGCTGTAAAAAATAACAAGTATCGGTTTCAACACATGAAAGAACATAAATCTTAATATATGGAAGTTTAGGAAGGCCACCTGATTTGTAAAGAAAAAATCACTCCACTGCTAATCTTGCCTATTCCCCACTTTTTTTTCTCCAAAAAAAGACATGGAAAAGAATGGTTAGCTCGGGCAGCCTGCAATGTCCATGTTTTAAAGCCTACATAGGATAGAAAGAATACGCTTGATAAGCAAGTTAGACATGGGCACTCAGGAGCATGTATAGATACATAATTCATTCCTGATTATGATTTTCTGGGAACCTGAACTTTATATAATAATCAAGTGGCATGCTATATTAGTTTTTGCCAACAGGGTCAAGTTGACCAGCAGCCAAACTTTCAAGGCTATCACTTGACTGTACCCATTTTTCATGCATGGGAAACAATTGAAAAATCAATCATGGACCATTACCGCACTGGTGTCTTCATATGGCTACATGCCACAAAATCCCCCAAGAATATAATTGTACTTCACTCTATCTAGAAGTGCATCCTCATGGCCCTACACCTGATTTTTAAATCCAAAGAAGAGTAATGGAAAGGAGTGGGGGATGGGAAAGCACAATCTTCATTCTGCCACAAATGTAAACTATTCTTATTATAATTAAAAAAAATATTCTTACAAGGCAGTCAAAAACAATGAGTAGGAAGAATGGTTTCATTCTGCTCAAGCGCAAGTTTAAGAAACATTTTATTTTAATCCCACTGCAAGTACTAAATCCATAGGTTTTTAAATTCTCAAGATTAGAATTTACACATGGATAAATTTCAAGAGTTTAATAAGTGTAGTAAAAAACACTTTAAATTCTGTGAGGCTTGAGTTGAGAATGAGTACAAGCTTAGGTTTTTAATCCTCAATAATTAAATCAAATGATCTGCAATCTTGAATTTTCCATGATCAGAACATTAAAGTCCTAGTGGTGAAGTTCAGTAGTTGATTAGATTTAAAGAGCCATTACTGAGAGCAATTTGAGTATCAGTTTCCAACTGGTGAATGGACAACCTAGATAACAGGTAAACTAGAATAAAATAAGATGCCCTGAATAAACACTTGACACTTGTTATAAAAGTATAAGCTTAAATATATATAAAGAAAATTTTTTTAAATGGAAGGGTTTAATTTGATAAAATATCAGGTACTTTTTCTTTCCATTTGTTAAAGTAATCCAATGTAGACAGAATATACTCAATTTTAGAGTGATAGAAATTTGCCCTGGCCGATATGGCTCAGTTGGCTGAGCATTGTCCATGCACCAAGAGGTCACTGGTTCAATTCTTGGTCAGGGCACATACCTGGGTTTCTGGCTTGATCCCCAGTAGGGGGCATGCAGGAGGCCAGTAGATATTTTTTTCTCATTAATGTTTCTTTCTCTCTCACTCTAAAAAATCAATAAAAACATATTTAAAAAAAATAAAGTGACAGAAATTTATGTTGGGAAACACATCAATAGATGCATGGTGCATTACGAGTTACTCAATAAATATTTGTCTCATGAATAAACTTCTCTAAAATTCCAGTTAGTAAATGTCAAGTTTGGCTCCTGAAATACCTAAGAAAGGAAGGCCAACAACTGAATGGATGTTACCAGCGGTATACTCTTAACTTACAGTTTTAAATTTACTATTTTCTGGGGGAAATAAGAGATACAAAAACCTTTTAGACCGGAGGACAGACAGGTCCAAGAGATTTTCAATCATATTCATTTGTACACATTATGATTGCCAAACATTAAGTAACATAAACTCACAAGTGCTAGTTTTTTTTAAGGCTCAGTAAAATATAAAATTAAACACTTTTAAATTATATTGACCATAAAGCAGCTAAAGCAGCTATTCACACAAAAGGTACTCAAAACATGTCATCTGATGATTTCAAGCATACTTTATGAATTGTCCCTTAAAGGTACTTTTCCCCTAAACTATTGACATGTTCCCTAATTTACTATGGCCACCTCCACTAAGTGAAAGTGCTAAAAGTAAATCTCAATTTTATATTTGTCAAAAAAATATGGTAAAAGAGATTTAAGTGCTTTAAGGTATACCAATGGTTTTCTAAGTGAGATACTTAATAAAAAATGAGACCAATATAACAAAACTTCACAACATTAAGCCTCTTCATGCTATGTGAGATAATACATAACAAATTATAATTTAGTATCCCTGACCTTCAGAAGATTTACAAAAAGAGGTAGAAAACTTTTATCTGGAAGATGTCATAGTGAAGCTAAGTGTTTTAGAGAGTTTGCCTTAAGGGTTAGCCCACCAAGCAAATGGCTACACATTTAGTATTAGGAAGAAGCTTATTCAGATAAGGCAAGAATTTAAAAACTGTCCTATTCTGGAAGTGAAACTCATTCAACATTATTATCCCAGCTACTTTAAAACTCTTCAAAAGTCCAAGTGAAAGATCGTAGATAAGCAAAGTGCTAATTTGCAGAAAGGTGGAATTATTAAAATAGCATTAGTGGCAGGATAAGGTTAAGATAAAAACAAATACTGTTTAGAGGAACAGACAATCTCAACAAAACCAAAGCTTATCATTATCACTTCAGAGGACTGTTTCAGGAATTGGACGAAGTGCTCTTAACGAAAACCTGAGGAAATTAAATCCCTCCATATCTTTATGTGAAAAAGCAAAATTCAAGCATTCAGATTTCCTGGAACGTCAACTAAAAAAACATACCCTGCTTCATTTTAAATTTGATCCAATGTGACAAAGATTAATACATAAGTTGCATTAAAACATAAGGCCAACAGTCTTTTAAAGCTTCATTAAGCTGCTCAGGCACCTTTTCCCTCATACATTCTACTTGTGTACACTAGAAATCCTAAATAGGGCACTATCAGTTCCTGTTTTTAGGTAACATTCAGTAACATAAACTCCCAAGTGCTAGGTAACATTCTCAGGGAATAGACTCACCCCTGTAAAAATTGCTAACGTACTTACAACTGGTTAAGTACACATTTGTAAAGTCTACCAAATTGCAATATAAAATCAGTTTCGGCAATTCTGTGCATCTTCATTTGAGGAATCAATTCATAATGTAGAAACTATTAACTCAGAGTTTTTAAAAGGACTCAATTACTGGAGACATTGTGGTTTATGTCCAGTGGCCTCACGTGAGGCCTTCCGCTTTACCAAAAATGTGAAGCTGTTTTCTTCTACAAGTTAATGCTGCTGGGTGCTAGTTTATAATACGAAAACTCAAATCTTCAGGTTAGTGTCAGTAGGTAGCAAGAATCACCCATTCTGTCATCCCAGCAGAAAGAGGGCATGCATTACCACTGTGGACAAACGTCTGTAAACTTGCACACTACTTTTAATCTTAACAAGGAATTCAGTGCCTTAGTGGTTGTAAGTTAAAAGGATGGTTCAAGCATTGTGTCCTTTGTTCTTTAAGGTTACGAATAGCTTATTGGAAAACCCAGAACCTTCTGGATCTGTGAGGTAGTAGGCTTCAATCCTCATCATGCATAGATCACACTTCTCCAAAGTTGGTATGGCCTGTCTCCTTGGCATGTTCCCTTGCTTCTGCTTGTCCAGTTAAACCCTTTTGACATATCATGCATCTCAGGGTGAAGCGGTTTACATCAGTAAACTGTCTCTTTTTTCTAGCTTCATCTGCTAATTCCAGTGCTTGTACAAGAACAATATCATCATTAGAGGAGAAAATGGTCAGAGGAGGGGTGTCAGGGTCGGGAAAGTTTCGCTGAAGTGGGTCATAGTGAACACCATCATAAATAAGCAGGACCCTTTTGGCATATCCCGCATCTTCCCCAAAACGATCAATTCTTACTGTCTGTGTATCTACTACACATATTTCGCATTGATAAAATTTAGACAAAATTGATATCTCAATAGCCCCTCCCCAGGTATCATCCCTTTTGATCCATTCACAGTACTCTTGATTTGTTTTTCCCAGTATTGCTTCGCTGTAGAAATCTGGATCACTTGCTACAATTCGTGCTATGAGGCGTCTCATCTCAGGGGCACACGCTGGATTCAGGACTCCTCCTTCAACAACATAGTACACACTGGTAAAGAGGCAAGAGTTGTCTGCTGGGACCACGGTTCTGGTAAGCACAGGCAAAGGTTCCCTGATATAACCAGGAGCACCATGTCTGGTAAATGAAGGTGAAGTGTGGGGCCTGGTTTGGTCTTCTTCAACGATCAGCATGTCGCCTGTTAAAAATAAAACAAATCCAGGACTATGGAGAATTATAGATGAAACTGGGTGTTTACTAGCCAAGTCTGTAAATTACAAACAGAAGGTGTTAAAGTATAAGCTAGGGTTTCTAGGGGCAATACAGCTTTGCAAGCAAGTGACCAAGTTAATACGTCTTGTTCACTGAATCTTCATAAAGTTCAAAACAAAGAGCAAAGACTTTAGGTTGTGTCCCAATTTTGTGAAGGGGCCTAGATTGGACACCTTCATAGTTACTTAAAAAGATACATTTCAAGAACAAAAGTTCCTTTTGCCTGCTCTCTATTCAAAAAGAACAAATCTTCCGAAAGGTGTTTATCATAGACTACGCCACTAGGGGACTCTCCTCCTTCCGAAAGTTATCTAGCCTGTTTGGTGTTTACAGGATCCCTGATACAACAGCGGAAAGCTTTCAAGGATCAATATTGCTATTCAAGCTTTAACACGGGACAGAAATAACTGATGTTGTTTAGAACTTGACAGGTCCTTTGGTGGATGTGTAAAAGCAAACTCTACAAAGTCAGTATATATGAAGGTGACTGCAAAAACAAGCCAGGAAAGCAAGCAAGAAAAATATCCTGCATCCTTCAGACCTGCTATATTCTTTCAGTGATATAAGGGGAAAGAACCATCAGGACAGAAAAAGAGGTCCTACTTTTTTGTACTTTTGTGGACGCCGAGGGAAAACAAAAATGAATGAGACGTTTTCAAGACAAACCAGAAAGCAGACTGAGGAAGGGGGGACTCCAAAGGCTGTGAGCTTCTAACATAGGTTGGGACCTCCCCGTCTCAACTAGTCCTGGCCTCCGTCAGAGTTCTCTGAGCTTTAATCCATCCTTACTCAGCCTTGTCCTCAAAGCCCCCGGCTGACCCATAGCCACCTTGCCATCACTGTTTCTCTACCCTCTCTCACGCCCCTTGCCATCTTCTCAGGACTGCCCCTGGCCCCGGCCTCGACCCCCTTACCTGACTGGATGGGCAAATCCCCCAGCATGGCATCCCCGTTGCTGAGATCCAGGCACTCGGGTGGGTATCCGACGAGGATTCGCTGACAGTCGGGGGCGATCCCCGTGATGGCAGCAATTTGGCCCTGGAGTTCCCGCACCCGGGTCCGGCTGGACAACTCCTGCAAAACATAGGTGCCATCCTTGGCTTTGCAGCGGAGCCGCCACTGCATGTCGGTCAGGCCACCCATGGGCCAGACTCCCGTGGGACCACCCTTGGTCCCGGCAGCAGGATGGCAGACGCCACCGGGGCAACCAGCCTCCGAGTGGACTCCAAAATGGCCACCCTTCGCCGGGCCAAACATCGCGAGAAGTGGCTGGTGGCTACAGTTTTCGCGATACTTGCGCGCAGCTGCTGTTTTGGCACCTTAAGAAGAGCGAACTCTCTTAAAGTAACAACCTATCTTTTGGTCCCCACCCTTCAGGTGCCGAAGGACGAATATTCATTAGTATTCCTAAAGAACAAAAGGTCTTGCTACCTGTAGAGCGAATGAGGTGCCCTCCGCGTCGGCAGCATATATGCTCAAGGAAAGAGGGCGGGGAAGGAGTTCCTGAATCCAGTACATTGGAACGGAATCTTGCACTTACTGAAGTCGGAAATTATTAAGTTGGGGCTTCCAAACCACACCGGGAGAAACAGAATCATAGTTCAGAATGCAAAGGAATGCCAAGAATGGTCAGTGAGTCAAAGGACCTGTCAAAAACAACCAGATGCCCGGGGACAGACTCATGGCTGCAGCAAACATTGACTCATTGAGGTTACAGGAGACTGTAACTTGGAAACGTCCATTTGCCACATCAGAAAGCACAGTGTGAGGTCAGACTTATAAAGTGCTATGGCCCTAGGCCCTAGGGCAATTGCTACCTAAAGGGAGGGTGTGGCAGCACAAGGAGAAAGAATGAAGAGGACTCATGTGTGTCATCCACATTCCAGTTCAGGCCGAGTGTGCAGACAGGAAGATGATTCCATTCCTGCCTTCAGTATAACAAGTACTCACTGTAATCGCAAGAGAGGGTGAGGTGTACAGGACACACAACCACTGCATTTTACAGCAACGTGATGATGCTAGCTTATGTGACCCCTTTCAACCCTGTATCCCTAGAACCAAGGACTGTGTCTAGCAAATAAATGCTCAATCAATACTTGCCAAAAGGATAAAGAGGGTTATATAGGCACAGGGGGCAACTATGATATACTGGGAGTTGTAATAGCGCTTCAAAGAGGAGATACTATTAGAGCTGTTCGAAGAATTTAACCCCCAGGTGAAGGAGAAATAAAGACATCTCTGAATTTACCTCTCTTTCAAGAAATCCATACTCATTGTTCCTTTTGCATCCTGAGTGTAGCAAGCCCAAATCTGCGTAGAGGGGGTTTATCAACAGAACCAAGCATCACAGAAGATGAAGAGGGGATGGTGGGGGGAGGGAAGAGATAAACCACAGAACTTATATGCATGTATGCAAAACCAATGGACATAGACCACAAAGCCGGGGACGGGGTGGGGGGTGGGGGGGGGAATGGGGAGGTGGGTGTCAATGGGGTAAAAAAGGAGAAACATCTGTAACAAAAATAAAATAAAAAGTTCACTTGAAATGTGCAAACGCACCTCCACGATAAAAGCCTCTACCTCTGAATAAATTATATGTAACCTTTGAATTTTTCACGCCTTTTATAACCCATTGTCCTGCTGGAGCCGGTTTCCTCTTGGGTTCTTCAAGATGACCACAACAGAAGGTATAGGTGGGAGGTAGGAGAGAGGAGAAGTCCACTGGAGTATGTGGATGGGTCCAGGGAAGCTCGCGTTCAGCGATTAGTCGGTTTTCTTAAGTTACCGTGTCTGACCCACGGAAAAGATATGCAAACACACTAAGGTGTAATCAGCTCAGGTATAGAGATTCCTGGAGGAAAGGGTTAAGCTCCACAACATCTTTTCGTCAGTAGAAAAACCCACCCTCTCAAGACTGCTTAGTCCACTCTCGCGAGAGTACAAATAAAAGTAACGCCTGTAATAAGCCCCGCCCCCAGCCTTATTAGTTGCCAAGCAACGATGCAACCAACCTGCACAGTGCTGGGGAACTTGGGAGCTTGCGCTCTATCCCCTTCACAGTTACGTCCTCCTTCAGGAGCTTGCGTCAGCGATTCCTATTTGAGCCCCGCCCCCTTAAGTCTGCGGGCGCTGGATTGGTCGATGTTTCTCTCCAGGTGAGGACCAACGTGGGGGTGGGCGGAGTCAGGCTGGGACACTTGAATTGCTAGCGACTGGTGTGGGGCCCCCGGGCCACAGTCAGTTGACTAGTCCCTGCCGCTCACCGGGGAAGTGCCGGGGCCACTGCCGGGAGGGACCTTAGGGATCCCAGGGTGAGCGACAGCTGTACTGCGCCTGGAAGAGCCTGGGAGGGCGGGAGGAGGGGGGCTGCGGACACCCGGATGAGGTGCGAGACGATGGTGCCTTGCTGTTTCGGGGACGTGCCGGCCCCCAAACGTAGCCCGGAGTGCAGACATTCAGGGACATAGAATCGCAGCTGGTGTTTGGGTTGGAGGATTTGCGTGGTCAGTGGAAGAACAGTGCGAGGTCCTTAAAGCAATAGGACCTTCCTTCCTCACGAGTTACTTGGCTGGGTTTGGGGAGTGAGCTCCGGGCTTTCCCACCCCAGTTGAGTCAGGACTTTACCGTTATCCTATAGGTGACCTTGAGGAAGTCATTTTCCACCTCTTTGTGTCCCAGTGTTCCTTCTATAGACTTTGTCCCTGGGGTAGATGGGGAGACAGTGCAGAGCAAGGGCTTGAGAATAAGAGACACCAGAGGAGACATGGTGACGTGCTAGGAATGGGGTGTCCAGTTACAATTTTTCCTTCAGGAAACATGATTGATATTTTCCCACTTTCTCTTTTTTTTTTTTTTCAGGACTGAATGGTACCATTGGATTGCCATTTCTTTGTGATAATGAACTTTATCTGTTTGCAACCACCCCACCCTCAAACTGCTGCCACTACTCTTCCCAGATTCTTAAACTAGACTTTGAGGTTAGGAAGGAATCGGATAAGCCACTTAATTTGATTGACCCCAGTTTTCAGTCTGTAAATGGGAAGAAGTAATAATGGCAGCAAAATCTGCTTTATTACAGGCTTATTGGAAGGATTGAGGGAGATAATATATATGAATGTCACTCCCAAGTCAGCATTATAAATGCAAGGCTCTAGTGCTCTATTTTTACATAGATGAAGAAGCAGAGGGCTCTGGGCTTATGCTTTATCCTAGGTCATGTAGCTATTAGCTGGGAGAAGGAAGGCTGGACTTAACTCTTGGCCAAGGGTGTTTTTACTTTTACCACAGTGATCCTCTTCACTGAGTGTTTTGAAGGATGTTTTCTTCTTTCCCTTCCTTACATTTCTTTTGTCCCTTCTAGACATCTCCTGAAGAGTCGCCATGTCTGGGAATAATACATCTTCTTCAGAATCAAATAGCAGCTATGAAACCAAAGCCTCAAATCTTCGAATATCAGAGAAGAAATGTTGTAAGTTCTGGCAAAACAAAAGGTTGCTCTCTCCCAGAATTTTATCTTGGCAATAGAGTTGTAACCCTAGACTTTGCTGTGGGAGTGCGAAGTAATTCTTTGACATGGGAATTTAAAACAAAGTCTCAAAAAAAAGTAGGCTGAAAAAAGTAGATTCAGTGAAATGTCTGTCCTTGGGGCTAAACTACTGATATAGCCCAGCATTTTCTTATTGCTTTCTTTAACTGAATCTATGTCTCCTTGGTGTATCTGCACACTTGATGTTAAAAATTAGGGCAAGCATTGGTAGTACACACTGTGAGGAAGACAGAGTGGCAGTGTGCAGGCATTACTTGGGGCTGTTAAGTTTCCTTTTGGTTAACAGTTTCCTTTTGGTTCTTGGGCTGCATTTTGTGAGGGTGCTGCTCACTACAGAAATCACAGGTAGAAGGCAGTAGCTCATTTCTACAGCGCTCCGTGGAATCATCTCTGACATTTGACTTTTTTCACTGCATCTTGGGAACCTTGGTTTCTCACAGGTTTAGCCTTTGAACTTGGCAACAAACTGTGTTTTCCTACAAGTTCATTCTTCAGGGACAGGTTTCACAGGAGTTTTTAATGCTAGTCCTTTTAGACAGAGATGGCAAGTAGGATTGCAGGGAGATGAAGCATCTGCAGTCTTAAGTACCATTATAGACCTCAACAGTGCATAGCGTGGTCCAGAAAGTCCCGGGCCACTGGGCCCCAGATGTCTTGGGGAATCTAAGGGAATGCCAGCCCTTCCCCCTGCTTCCAGACAGCATTTTCCTTTGGAACCCTATCCATCAGTTCTTCTCACTTCAGTGGTTATATATATTGATAGGTGGAAACAGCCGAGCAGCATAAGACCTGGAATCATCACATGTTCAAGCTTTCCCCAGAGTCTTGACCTTGATGTCATGCCCTTTTCAGTCTCAGATTAATGTTGATAATCTCTTCACCTGGCACTGATGGGGCTTGCTGGGATTTGGGCTGTAGCAGAGGCAGGTTGTTTGGATGTGATACTGGGGTTGGTGTACCTCTATGATTAAGGTACATAATCATAGAGCAGGAAGCTAGGTACTGAGGGCAAATACCCCATGGGAGATAACTAGTATAGTGTGATGTTTTAGTGCAGCCTCTAGAGTCAGACTGCCTGGGTTTGAATCTGGGATTTTATACTTCCTAGCTGTATGCCCTTGAACAAGTTGCTTATCCCCTTTATAAATTTGATATACTAACAGTGTCTCTCCCCAGACTGATGTGAGAAATAAATGAGTAAATATAGGAAAGCACGTGGCAGAGTGTTGGGCACATAGCCAGGTATATTATTTTCATTGGCGACTCTATTTGCATGTTGTGTTTATTTTTGAAACATTATGTATAAATTGAATTGTAGTCTAAATGCTGTGCTGGGAGCTCTCTACTTAAAAGAACCCTGTTAAGAATTATATTTTCAGTAAAGTATGTTTTCTCCTCTATTAAAATAAATATGTTTTTATTTTTAGATAGGAAGGGAGAGGGAGAAAGAGATAGAAACATCGATGAGAGAGAAACATCGATTGGCTGCCTCCTGCTCTTCCCCCACCGGGGATCAAACCCGTAACCCATCATGTGTCCTGACCAGGAATTGAACCAGCAACCTCTTAGTGCATGGGACAGTACTCAGCCAACTGAGCCACACCAGCCAGGCTGTTTTCTCTTCTAGTTTGACAATATTGTAACCCAGATTTTGGGGTATAGCTCCACATCTTAAACAGAGGTGCACCTAATTCAACAGGGAGCAGAGAGCTGGTATTTGTGGGGAGGGAGTTTGTAGTTGTGGGAGTCTCTGACCCTACACAATGCCCAGTGTCAGTCTCAGCTCTGCTTTTTCCTCCAAAGGAATTTCCTACCTGCCTTCCTGACTCTCATGCAATTTTTCTGCTTTGAAGACTTTTGATTAGCCAAGGAAACTAATTCCAGGTCTCTAGTTCTCTGGATTCTAATTCCTGGTTTGGGCTCTGATACTCCTTTCCAGCTCCATCCTCTGCCCCACTGAAAACATTTGGGTTGTCCTAAAGCCATTGTCCTTCATTGACCCCATCTCTTCTCCCCTTCCGGTTGGACTGTAAGACTGTTACACAGTTATAAGACTATGTTTTCATTTCCTTTTTCTCTGTTGTTTGCCTGTATGTTGCAATAGGCTCCTCTGGCTTCTCAGTGTTCACACCCAGCAGTTACTTTATTAATAGCTGAGCCATTATCCCCTTGCTGCTAATTACACCTGTGTTGGTTGACTTCGACTCTGTGAAGTGACTGAGCTGGAGGATTGAAGGATTACTTTTGGGAACCAAAACCCCCAAAAGGAACCTTACTGGAACTTCAGCTGCTCCAGGGATGGTGTGAAGGGGAGTGGTGATGGCTGAAGTGCCTGTAAGGTGCTCAGATGACTGCTGTCAGGGCTCTATGAAAAAGCAGGAGTGTGTAGGGGGAGAGGTCTGTTTGCTTTGCTTTCTTTGTTTTGTCTATTCTTTAATATTTTGATTAGGTCTGGAACATTTCTCTAATTACAAAAGCAATATATGTTCATTAAATAGTCAAACAATCCAGAAAGAAAGTGAAAAGGAAAATATCTCTTACAATTTCTCCTGTCCCTGTTAGGTTTGATTCTTTCTTATTCTGGCACATACTATTAAAGAAAAGAGATTCATGCTGTACACACTTGCTTCTGCTGCCATTATCCACCCTTTTTAAACGTAACTATATCTTGGACTTTTATTTCTCCATGTCAGTGAGTCCAGATTGACCTCATTCTGCACAGTATTGCATTGTATCAATATGTCAGTCTCCATTGATGGACATTTCTGTTTCCAGTTTTCCACTATCACAAACAATACCGCAGTGAGCATTCTCACACACACCTTTGCATGTTTGTGCTAGCAACTTTTCTACAGAAATATAGAAGGAAAGATAGATATATTTAAAATGTTGATCAGCATTCTGTAATGTTCCTTAAAGTTCTGTATTGTAAACTGTTTTAACATTTTAAAGTTGTTGACGGTAATTGGGCATTATTAACTATAGCTGCACTGATGAACGAACCATTAACTTTCTTAGTGTTTGGCTGCAGAACTTGATATTTCATGCCTATCAGTCAAATAGATTATTGGCAGTTTTATGACTTCTGATGAATAAAAAGAAGATATTTCTAATGAAACACACTTTAATGGGCAACATATTTAAAAAATGTTGAGTCTACTTAGAACAAATAGTGAAGATGACCTTGATCACGAAAAGGCTGGGAACCACTAGCCTTTATACCACCCTTCAGGATTTACAAGGAAGCATAGTTGTACTTTCCACATGGCTCCATTTGTCAGGTGCTGTTGAGAGCTGGTGGCTGGGACTGAGTGGGTGGTCATGAAACTAGGAGGCTGATCAGAGCCCTGACCTTGACTTTCTTCTGTGGGCCATGCTCTTTACTTTTCTGAGCTCGAGTTTTTCTGTCTATAGGAGAGAAGTTATCAGACTCTCATTTCCTCTGAGTGTGTTCATGAAGGGAAAATAAGTTTCAGATTGAGAAACTGAGTTAAACCTTGTGTAAAGAAGATAGAAGGGAATTTCAAGATTGAAACAGCTTTCCAGTATATTCCAAGGGGTATATTACATTATCTCTGAAATTAATCAGCATGAAGTATCTACTATTGAAATTAAGCAGGTGGTAGTGGTTTTGCTTTTTCAACAGGCAGGACAATATGTTCCTCATTCTGTTAATGTGGCAATTTGAGATAGGAAGTGTGGTTCCGTTTTGTACTCCCCGGAATGAGAAGCCCTGGTTGCGCAGATGTGTGTAGGTACACTGTGATCAGAGGCAGGAGGTGCGGTGCTGGGGGCACTGTGGGGAGACATTAGTGCCTTGTGTTTTCTTTTGTTCTGAGCCCTCTCTGTCCAGTTTAGTTTACACAGAGCAGCTGGTTCCCTCTTTGGCTTCAGAGCAGCTCCCAAGTATCAGTTTATTTTCAGCAGTAGGGAGTGTAACAGGACCTTTGGGGAAGTGCCTAATGGGCTGGAAAATGTAGACAAAGCGGGCCTAGAAATGCAGGTAATGAGCCAGATCATGTGGGATTGAGAAGAGTGAGGCACTGAGCTGGAGAAAGTGAAGACTCAGTAGGATTTAAATGCTGAAACCCTGGGGCAGCTGATCCCAGGTAGATAGATCTGCCTGTCAGGGGCCAGAAGTCGGGGATTAACATCAGCTGAGGCTGCTGAGTGACTTCCTTTGCCTTTGTGCCCCAGATTTGGTGAGAGATGAAAATCACTTCTGGTGCCCAGGCCCAGGAATTTTCCATGGGCGAAGCCCTCTGACCCTGAGTCTACCCCTCCCTTACTACTTGAGCCACCCTTTGGCTTGAGTACTTCTTGCCACACACCTCTAGGAAACTCTCTTCCTTCTGAGGTCTGTTCTCTACCCAGTCCCTTCTGCCCACTTCTCCATTGAGATCATCTTTTTACATTCTTTCCCAAAAGATAAAAGATGACTTCCATCCAGGTACCCCAATTTTATAGATTTGTTTCTTAGCCTTAAACAGCCACCTTGCCCCTGGGTAGAGCAGCGGCAACAATTTGCAGGGCACCCTCTGGAAAGCAGTGCTGAGACGTGAAGGTGGTTCTTTCCCTCTCCGGTCTGTGTGCCCTTAGAGGAGCCACAGAGCTAGAGCCTCCCAGATGACGTTTGGTCTTGGCCCTAGGAGAGTGGCTGGCAGCAGTATGGGGCCCTCACCCACCACTCCTCTGTAGCAGGATGGGCAGAGAGGAGCCAGACCCTCTAAGCAAGCTGATGAGAAATCACAGGCTCTTTTCATGGAGAAAAGCTATGGAGGAAGCACAAGATCTGGACTCCAGTGCCAGCTCTTCCCATGTCTTATTGTGTGTCCATGGGCAAGTCACCAGGCTGATCCTGAACATTTAGTTCGCCCCACCCATCCAGTGAGATCTATGTCTGTAAATGAGTATTCCTAAAATAAGTTTCCTAAGAAAGGGTAGACCAATGACTGTTCCAGCTTCTAAATTGTCTTGCTTTCACATGGGCCACTGAGGCAGGCTGGCCGCCATACCCTTGTGGGCTAAGCTTTACTGAAGTTTCCTGAGGTCTAGTAAGACCTGTGTCAAGTAGGCTTTCTGCAGTCTAAATCTGACTGGGTTTAGAAATTCTGGCTTAAGCTCATGTCTTGACTGCAAGGCCAAAGACAAAACAAAACAAAACAAAAAAACCTCAAAGCCAGGCTCTTTTTGTGATGGGCCAGTTAATTCTTGCCCATAGTTCTGAAGGGATAGGTGAGACACAGCCCAGACACTGTTGGACCTATTGTAGGCGCCCGCTCAGTTCTGGACCGGTAGTGTCTCCAGACACAAGACCCTGCTTCACAGCTATATCATTCTTGTGTTAAGCAAGGTGCTATGGCTACTGTCTTTCTAACTCTTTCCACCTTGGGTACCTCTATGAAGACCTTGGGCATGTGGGAAAAAGTCTTCTTCGGGGGACTTTCTGAAAGTCTACATGACCCTTTAACTCTTTCAGGAGGGTTTGCCTAGTAACTCTTCAGTTTGCCTTCCTAGTCTTCCTGGACCCTTGCCTCACTGAGGTTTTTGAGGATTAAACAACATTATAACTTCGGAGTTGCTAACCCTGTACATGAATCTTACTTGGCCCCTAGTTATTTAGTTCTATTCTGTTTCATTCCACTCTAGCATGGGCGTCCTACATGACCAACTCCCCGACTCTCATTGTTATGATTGGCTTGCCAGCCCGGGGCAAAACCTATGTGGCCAAGAAACTCACACGCTACCTCAACTGGATTGGGGTGCCCACCAAAGGTAGGTGCAGGTCATTTTGTCTTTGGGAAGGGAAATGGTCATTTCCTTCATCTCACAGGCCTCTGGGGGATTTCTTCTTCCCGGCATCAAGGTTACAGGGTGCTCTGGCAGAAATAGTGGTTGCTTCTGGATTTGCTGAATTTATTTTCTGTTCACAGACTTGTTGCCTCCTGACCTTGAGGGAAGGCCTTTGATAGTATACATTTTCAAAGCCCTTACATATATATCATCTTGTTTAATCCTAACAGTACCCTTGTGAAATAGCAGAAGTGGTTGAGGAAGTTGAAACTGAGACAGTTGAAGACTAGCCCAAGGTCTAATGTGAACTCGAACCTAATCTGACTCTTACTCTGGTATTGTTCCCAACATACCTTGGTGCTTTTCTTTATCCTCTTGGCCCCTCTGCCATTAGACCAGGATGTCCCCTTTGGTGGGTCCACAGTGTTGTTTCACTGCTGAAGGTTGTTGGTGTCTTCTCCAGTGTTTAATCTTGGGGTATATCGGCGTGAAGCAGTCAAGTCCTATAAGTCCTATGACTTCTTCCGGCACGACAATGAGGAAGCCATGAAGATTCGCAAGTGAGTCTTCTTAGGCCTGACCTCTGGGCCAGCTCTTTCTCGGCCATCATGAGAGCAGTTCTGGACTGATAGAGTCTCCAGACACAGACTCTGCTGGGGCTTAGTTTTCCCTTCACTATCCTGTGGGGATTTTGAGTGGAATTTATTTTCTGGATAGGTCACTTTGGGCTTGTGTGGGTAGAACAGGGCTCAGGGAGAGGCATGTATGTTTGTAGGTTACACCTACAGAGAGATAAGGTATATGCGTGGGTGGGGGAAAGGGAACGTTATCGGATGATGTAAAAATCTCAGTGGGGAAGTTGAAAGGTCTAGTTGGAGACATTTTTGATTAGTGAGAAAACCAAGCAGGAAGGGACTTGACTCCTCTAGCAACCCAACTGCTCATGTCTCTGGCTATGCCTGCTCTCAGTCCCGCCGCGCTCCTCGTACTGATTTCCTCTCCTCTCGTGGCAGACAGTGTGCTGTGGTGGCACTGGAAGACGTTAAGGTCTATCTCACCGAGGACAGTGGGCAGATTGCGGTAAGTTTTACCTGCCTCTGCCCTTTCACAGCTGCACAGCCCCACCTTGGGTCCCCCTTGGTGGGATTCCACTTCTCGCTCCCCACTCATCTACCTTGTGGCCTCTCTTTCCAGGTGTTTGATGCCACCAATACAACTAGGGAGAGGAGAGACATGATTCTGGACTTTGCCAAGGAGAATTCCTTCAAGGTAGGAGCTGACTCCATGCTGGAGGAAAAGGGGTAAGTGGAGGTGGGCAGTGAGAAGGAACATTCGGATATGTTTGGCTCTGGTGAGTGAGGACAAGATTGGATATCTGAGCCTCTCCTCTGGGGGCAAGCCCTCTAATCCTTGAGTGTTTTCATGCATGTCCTTTCTCAGACCCTTAGCTTGTATGTCTGAGTTCCTGCAGATGTGGCAAGAGTTATTTTTAAATGAAGAGGCCTTGCAGGCACTTTTATGAAAGAAAATCCTGGGAGATGTGGTGGCTGGGGTGGGGCAGTTATGGGCACAGGCTCTTCATGAACAGCCTGGCCAATTTTGACCCATTTATCATTGCCTTCTTTTTCTGGAAGGTGTTCTTTGTGGAATCTGTCTGTGATGATCCCGATGTCATCGCTGCCAACATCCTGGTGGGTGATACCCCTGCGTACCACCACCTCTTTATCCTTTGTGCCTCGTGTGTGGGGCTGGAGGGTGGGGGGTGGGGGAGAGTCAACTAGGTAATGAAAGAAAGAAATAGACATGTTTAACATCACTGACTGATCTGTTTTATCTGCCAGACCACCATTTTGTACTTCCACACTCTTAGGAGAGGAAACCGAGGCTTTGAGGAATAAAATAAGAATTTGATGTTGAATGGAGATCAAGACTTAGACTGTAGGATTCCTGGCCCCACGTTCTGGGTATTAGCTGGATGCTGAGACCTAGATGTATTTTTAGAAGATACCAGACTTTTCATTATCTGTCAAGGCCACCCTCTAGGAAGATCATCTGCCCAGCAATTGTCTAATGGTCACAGCAATAAACCAGTGCCCATTGGTTGGGTTGTGCTGTGCCGAGTAGACATCCATGCATGGTATCATGATGGTGTCTCCCAGCAACGTGGGAACTTAGGACCATCTAAGGAAGAGGCATCTGGCAAGTCAGGCATAAATCAAATCAAGCACCCTATTCTACACCCTAAACTAAATGTGGGGAGAAACTGAAGCACATTCTAGTTTCCCAGGAAGGTCCATGAAGGAATTGGGGCTCAGGAGCAGCTCTGCTTCATGACTGCCACTGTCCTTCAGCCAAGGGCAGGCACATGACTCCTCAGTTGTCTTTCCCATCTGGGTTGCCAGGATCATAGGACTGTGTGGGGGTGGTGCTCGGTGAATGGGGATTGCCAGCGCTCCAGTGAAAGGCCACTTCTGTGGACTTCCTTTTTCTTTATTTAGCAGTGGCGATTTGCTGGAGGGCTATTGAAGGCAGACCTCTGACTAGGTCCTGCTCTTCTGTGATTCCAGGAAGTAAAGGTGTCAAGCCCTGATTACCCTGAAAGGAACAGGGAGAACGTGATGGAGGACTTCCTAAAGAGAATTGAGTGCTACAAAGTCACCTATCAACCCCTTGACCCAGACAACTATGACAAGTAAGGTTTAAGGCCACAGTTCAAAGGGCATAAATAGGGGTCTCATTTGAGAAAAGATTCTTTCTCTGTTCTGAAACTTCCTTCTGACATTCCAGACCCATAATGTTTATATCACGCCAGAGAAATAAGGTATGGATTTGTGGCTTCTGTGTGGGTTGCATCTTGTACTTGAACAGTGAAGTGTTTTTTTTGTTTTTTTTTTGTAATTGTCAATTCTTTTTCTCTATCCTCTAGAGCAAGATTTCTCAACCTCAGCCTTATTGACATTTTGAACCAGATAATTCTGTGTAGTAAGCGGTTGTCTTGTGTATTATAGGATATTTAGCAGCATCCCTGCCCTCTGTTCACTAGATACCAGTAACACTCTCAACCTGTGACAACCTAAAATGTTTCCTGACATCGCCAAATGTCCCTGGGGAGCAAAGTCACCCTTGGTTGAGAAGCACTGCTCTAGAGCAGTAGTTTTGAACTAGGACACCCCTTAGACATGTGTCATCAGTTTTTGATCAATTTTAAAGTGTATGTGTATATATGTTAAATAACATATATTAATATGTATATATGCATAATTACATATATAATATAACAATACAAAACAGTATACATGTGTATATATATATGTAACATGTTATCTGTTATATATAAGTTATAACATATATAACATTATGTACATAAATGATACATACCGAGTCCTCAGGAACACGCCTGGCTTAGAGAAATGTGTGATCAGTGCTGGCTGTCATTCCTATGACAGTGTCTATCTGCGGAGTGGAATACGGTACAGGTTAACTTGATGTGTGTGAGGTATAGAAGCTGTAGCAAAATGTCAGATGGGAACTGTGCTTCTCACCCAGGTTCAAGGTTAGCAAAACCTTCCCCTGAGGGGAAGCCTGATTCTGTTTATCACACTTACTACGTTGCATGGCACAGTATAGGCACTGAGGGACTGACCAGAGGTTCGGGAGATCTTACTTCATCTTGGTTCTGGGGAGCAGTCCAGCTCTTACCATTCTGCCCCTTAGAGGTGAGTGGGGCTCCTACAGGAGAGGAGGAAGAGCTGCTGTGAGCCTGGGGTGTCTGACATCCTCCCCCTGCGACTGTTACCAGATTTTCATACCCAGGGGATGTTTTCCCCCTTCTATTTTAGGGATCTTTCGTTCATCAAGGTGATAAATGTGGGCCAGCGATTTCTAGTGAACAGAGTGCAGGACTACATCCAGAGCAAGATAGTCTACTACCTCATGAATATCCACGTCCACCCCCGCACCATTTACCTCTGCCGGCACGGGGAGAGCGACTTCAATCTCGTGGGGAAGATTGGGGGCGACTCGGGCCTCTCGGTGCGGGGAAAACAGGTGAGTGGTTAGCCTGCAGGCTGGATTTCCTGGGCTTAGAGTTAGAGGGCATAGTGGGGGTCATCTTCTTATCCCCTTACTTTTTCTTAAATCCCACTGGGGCTTAGGCAGATGGTCAAGCGAATTCTAAAGGCGTTTTCTTGTTCACTGATTCTAGCTCTGCATTGAAGTGCGGATAACTTGGAACCATTTCTGCTGTGGTTCTTCGGGCATCAGATATTTATTGGGTGCAACTTGTGTGCTTAGCAGAGTACAGGGTGCTTCAGCTGAAGCCGGGTTCCTCTTGGGTGTGTTGCGCGTAGCACCTTTCAGATTTTGAACATGGTCATGCACGTTGGCCCATATAGGCAGAGTTAGCAGGTGTGTGTGTTTTCTTGTAAAATTCTTATTTCAAACCCCAGTTTGCCCAAGCTCTAAGGAAGTTTCTGGAGGAACAGGAGATAGCAGATCTCAAAGTGTGGACAAGCCAGTTGAAGAGGACCATCCAGACTGCTGAATCCCTGGGGGTGACCTATGAGCAGTGGAAGATTCTGAACGAGATCGATGCTGTGAGTTGCAAGCTTTGACGGCCAGTACAGTCTCCCATTCAGGCGGGGACTCTCAGAAGTCACAGTGTGGGCTGTTTTATCTAAAAACTAGAACCACCAAGTAGAAACTTTGAGGAAACGGAAACTGTGAACTGTGACTGGTTTGGGGAGGAAGTAGGACCAATTGCACCCCTGACTAGGGTTTCCTATCTGCTTGAACACCTGTGCCAGTGTTGGGACCCAAACCAATGTTTGGGCATCTGGGGAGAGTGGAACTCCAGTTGGTTACGTGGTATATTTTCTTCCTGGGATAAAGAAATAGCTAACAACTCATTCTTTAATTTCTGCTTAAATCATTTGATCAGCTATTCTGAAAAAGTCCTTCCCAATTATTTTTCTTGGCTTTCTCCGTCCTTGAGCACAAAAGTAGGCATTTCATTTTCTTCTCTTCCTCTGCGCCCTTTTATGCCTTGTGCAAGAATCCTCCAGTCCCTTCATCCGCCTCTCCTTCCCTGCTTCCTGTTCCTTTCATCCTGCTGACTTTTCTTGACCTTTAAATTCCCCACAGTAGTAGGAGAAAGTGGCAGCTTACGCTAGAGAAGCCGCCTCCTCTCTGCAGTGGCCCTCACCCTGCCAGTCCCAGACACCCTGGCCAATCAGTTGCAGGACATGAAAGGACCCGGCACAGTGCCTGGCATGTAGTAAGAAACTAGTATTCTTCAGTGTTGTCTTCCTTCTTTGGGCGGGGCTGCGTGGGTCAGTCTAAGCCTCTTCAAGCCAGTGTGGCTCCTTGCAGGGCGTGTGCGAGGAGATGACCTATGCAGAGATTGAGAAGCAGTACCCAGATGAGTTTGCACTTCGAGATCAAGAGAAATATCTGTATCGATATCCTAGCGGGGAGGTGAGATTCCCTTCATGTGGGGGACTGCCCAGCCCTGTGCTGGGAGTTGAGTGTTAACTTGGTTTTAACACTAGACTGAATGTAGTTTGGGGGGGTCTAGAAAGGGAACCGAAGGCATCATTTAGTTTGTCCTCCTGTCTTTGGGTCATACTGTCCAGTCTTTAATTCAGCTCAGGCAGTACACGCCTCACTAATTTGTTAGGATCTCTAGGGAAAAGCGTGACAAGATATACTGTGTCGAGTGTATTGTAGAATCAGCACGGTCTTTTTTTACTTTCTTTTTTCTTTCCACTTGCTAAATCCCACCAAGTAAATATGTGGGCTATGAACGATTTTCCGATCGTCTTCAGGGCTGTTTCCTGGTCTGAGTGGCTACGTAGTCCAGGGACGCGTGACATAAAGGTGAAGGCACAGTGTGGCAGAGGGCCAGGAAACCCCTAGGGGGCCCTTGTTGCCTTACTCTCTGCCCGTTACCTTTGGAAGAAAAAAAAAAAACATGCTTAATTTAGATTTTCTCTTCTCGACCTGTAGTTTTCTCAGGCTGAATGTTGCCCTTGAAAGGTCTGAATATTTTTAAGAGATTCAAGGGCTGGGGGAGTCAACAGGCGATGTGAAGTCGCTGAACCTCCAGGAGGAAAGCCAGCTGGGGAAGCAGGAGCGGTGGCCTCTTTACTCGGGACACAGCCGCCGACTGGCTGCCAGCTTGCGCCCAGCTTGCGCCCAGCCTGCCCCGCTTCCCTCCACAGTCATACCAAGATCTGGTGCAGCGGCTGGAGCCTGTCATCATGGAGCTGGAGCGCCAGGGCAATGTCCTCGTCATCTCCCACCAGGCTGTCATGCGCTGCCTCCTGGCCTACTTCTTGGATAAGGGCGCAGGTGCCACTGAGGGAAGGGCTGGGGGACACATCCATGGGAGGGGAACGGACTTGGGGTGGCACCGGGATTCCTGGCAACTGGACCTCCCCCTCTTTCACTCAAATTGGGGTACATTCTTCAGGCAGCAGCGTGGGGCGCCCAGCAGCCACTGAGCCAACTAGTTTCTGCATCGGCTGTGCTGGTACAAAAGCCCCCAGCGGAGGGCGGTGCTGGAGCTCCTTCCGCAGCCCTGGTTGGCTGAAGGGCAGCCTTGAGCTGACACTCCTGGCAGCATCAGCACAGTGGTTGAACATTCCCAGCTCGTCACTTTGGCTACAGGGAGGGTGGTATCTTAGAAGCATCTCCATCCTTTGGATTCAGGGTAGGATGTTTCTGGGTTGAGCCCGAAGGAAGTGCTGCTGCCCTGTCTGACACTTCCCTTCCTGACCAACCTGACCTGCTGGGAGGCCTGCAGGTTGGCCTCTGGTGTACCCAAGTGGGCCACCACCTTCCCTCTGGCGTCCTGGCTGCGGCACTTAGTCTAGTCTTGCCTTCACGGAGAGATCTACAGTGGATTTATTTCCTCCCTTAGCCACTCAGTAGCTTGCGTGGCTTCTCTGGTGGCTGTCTTGATCATTGGGCTTTAGGGGAGGAGCTGTTTAACTCTAGATTAAGGGAAAGAAACTCATGAGCTCCTTAGATTCTTTCTTCCACCAGCCTGACCTTACTCCATGCGAAGAGTCTTCCCTCACCTAGTCTTTCTGCTTTCAGACGAGCTGCCATACTTGAGGTGCCCTCTCCACACCATCTTCCAGCTCACTCCTGTGGCCTATGGTAACTATGCATTTAGGAGCTGGGCAGGAGGTGGGGACTGAGGAAGGTCAGGCTTTTTGAATTTTCTCTGAAGTGTGTGTAGAGGTTCAACTTCATCACCCCTGCACACCGGGAGAGTTCCATCAGTGCCTTCCATGTTTGCATGTATGTATGTATTTGGAAATCTCTGCATCCTTTTATGGTATGCTTTCCCATACTGAAACTAAGGAATTTTCCTTTGAGCTTGTTTTCCTGAAGGCCTCTTTTTCTCTCTGCTGTTTCCCCAGGGTGCAAAGTAGAAACCATTAAACTCAACGTGGAGGCCGTGAACACGCACCGTGACAAGCCAACTGTAAGTATTTTCCCGCAGATGAACACTCAGATTGAGTCTTTGAACCGGTGGCATCGAGACACTGGGGTTTCTCTGATGTACAAAAGGAAAACAGAGCCAGAACTCACGCCCTATGTAGTCTGCTTACTTCCAAGAGAAAGAGATGTCGGAATTGTTATTTTTGAAGATTAATACCTCTTTTATGAGTCTTGACCTTGAAAGCTCTTGGAAAACCAGTTAAATATGCAAAGTGTTTGGCGGAAGTAAAATGCACCCCCCCCCTTCCAGGAAGTGCTCCCTTTAGAAAGTGGGATCCAGAAGAGCTCGTAAGGTGGGGTGAAGATGTGTAGCTCTGTTCCTAGGTTTTTCCTAATAATTTGTTTGATTTGAAGTAAGTCCCGTCCTTTCTTTGTTCCTCTTTCCTGTTTTTTGGAGTATGATGCTCAAGGAGTTTCTCCCTCTGCACCCCTTTAGCTTCCTGGGGCTAGGGGAGCAGGCCACGGCCCAGGTCTGATGAGAGGAGCAGGAGGAGAGGGAGCTGTTGAGGTTATAAGCATTATTATACCTTGATGAGTGAGCTTTTGTCTTGGCTTTCATTTGTGTGGTGTCCCTCCGTTTCTAATCAGAACAACTTTCCCAAGAGCCAAACCCCTGTAAGGATGAGAAGGAACAGCTTTACACCTCTGTCCAGTTCGAATACAGTAAGGCGTCCAAGAAATTACAGTGTTGGGAGCCGGCCCCTCCAGCCCCTCGGCCCTCTCCGTGCCCTGGACACGCAAGAAGGGGCCGACCAGCCGAAGACCCAAGTCAGCATTCCGGTGTTGTAACTGTGTGTTTCCCTCCAGTCCCGGCCTCCTGCCCTTGTCACTAATCACCAAGGAATCGTTTAACTTCCAGCCCCCACCCCGCCACCCTGCCGTGAATCTTAACACAGAACGTGAGGCCATGTGTTTTCAGACCGACCTTAGCTGTTCTGCAGTGTGAAACATCTCCCCATCCAGGGGCAAGTTGACGAGTTGGATGTTTGAGAACAGGTCTCGGTTGGGTGGTCTGGAGGAGAAAAGGGATGATCACCTCTGGGGTGATTAGCATACATGGGGCGGAGGCTAAGCATGGCCAGGACACTTGGTTCTTCTCAGGCCCTGGTGTCTAAATCACTGAAGTCCTTATGTTGGTAAATGGGGGGTGGGTGGAGGGGGACACAGAAGCCCATTTTCCCTTTCCCTTTGTCTCTTAACGTGTGCTTTACTCACAGTTTTACCTGCCTGCTTTCTTCCCTCTCCCTCATCTCCCCATTGGACTGTCCAGTGTGATGCATGTCATTGTCACCGTAGTGTCTGTCTGCAGGGGAGGGAAGATTGGCAAGGGAGAAGTCCAGGCACCACTGATTCTCCCCGCAGTGGGCCCGTGTGGACGTGGACTGGAGGAGCCTGCCTTTTCCCCTCCCTTTCTCTTAGCCAGGTCCTGCAAGGGTCAGCCTAGGCTTTAGAACGTCCACAGATCTCTGGAGCTAGTGAAGGGGTAGAGGGTAAGAGTTCTTGCTCCCTTTCATGAGAAGCAGTCCTAAGGCTGTGATGCCCTGGGGGAAGCTGGCTCTGAGAATGTGGGAAATACCTTGGTTTGTCTTTTTTCCTTCGAGAGCCAGGCACAGGTCTTTTGGCAGCTGTGGAGTAAGGTCTAGGAGGGTAGGGCGATCTTTAGCTGCTACAGGGCTCTTAGAGGGCAGGCCCTGTCTTTTCTCCGGTGGCTCCCAGCTGCTTTGCCGACCTCTGCAAGCCAGTAACCTCTGGGGCTGTTTAGAAGTCATCACTAATTCAGGAGATACCACTGGTATTTGAATTGCTCATCAAAAGGCAGAGAAGAGTTCACTAGAGCTGCTTATTACTTTCTAGTAATTTTCAAAACACTCCTTTTTTTAAAAAAATGTGTTCTTTTTTTTTATTTTTTATTTATTGATTCTAGAAAGAGAGGAAGGGAAAGGGAGAGAGAGAGAGAAACACAGATGAGAGAAACATCTGTCGGCTGCCTCTTGCATGCCCCCTACTAGGGATCGAGCCCACAATCTAGGGATGTGCCCTGACCAGGAACCAAATCAGTGACCTCTTGATGCATGGGATGATGCTCAACCAACTGAGCCACACTGGCCGGGGCAAAAACGTTCCCTTTTAAGTTAAAAAATCTAGAGGAGTCTTTGGGACCCTGTGGGGTCTAGCTCTGCACTGCTTCTGTTTACCTATTCACATCTGTCATTTTCTCTGTAGGGTTAAACAGGAAATATTTACAGCAGAGATTCTCAGCCCCTTGGTGACTCATGATAGCATACTTGTCCCCCCAAAATTTGTATGCAAAATGTATGAATATATGGGCACTTTTCTGAGAAGCAAGTCTAGAGTTCTCCTGAGATTTTCAGAGTTCTCCCCATCTTCAAGTTATCAATTTGTCTTTTAGAAGTAATCAGCAAGAACAAGGAAGCTATTTGCCATGGTGTTTTTGGTAATAGAAGACCCTTTGTCATGGTTCTTGTCTAGGAGTGTTCATTGGGACTCCTATTAGAACTTCTGAAATCTACACATGCCTGGGTCTGCTCTAGGCTTAACGTCCACTCAGCATCTCTGGGTTTGGGGTCTGCACATGTGTTTAAACAGCTTCCCTGCTGATTCTAACTCATACTCCAGTCAGAGCCCCATTCTGTGAAGTTGGGTAAACAAATACTGGGATCACAGTTCCCTGAACAGAACAGCAACCTAGGCATTCTGCATCCCTCCTGGAGTTAGATGTTGAGCAGGTCATAATGTTAAATGAAGTGAGCAGGCTGCTGTGTTTTAGAGGGTTATTCTAGGTTCTAGTCCCATCTGCAACCATTTACATTGCAGGGTGATGTGGAACAAATCGCTGTGTCAATAAACGTCCTTGGGTAATAGCTGGGAATTGTAAGCACCCTGGAGATAGGCCCCAAGATAAAACCTGTAGGATGAGAAAGATTATCACAGGCAACTGACTTGTGACCTTTATTTATTCTTATATCTTGAATAGGACAGCACAGTGAGTTTCCAAAGGCTGCTTGCTAGATGCTGCTTGAAATGACGTGCTCTTCCTGTGTAGCCATTTACATAATGTATACTTAGTGCCTCGGTTTGTGGGGCTTTGGGCTGGGTGGAAGTGGGGTGCAGGGTACATAGAATTAGAAAGGGTGCTTGCCTTGAAGAAGGTGGTTTTAGAGACAGGGCATCTAATTTATAATAAACGAGCATTTGTGAACGAGCAGCACTGAGTCTGGAAGTGTGAACACTACACGGGAGTACAGATTCCTCCTCATGACTTTTCTCTTGTCCTTGGCCCCACCTCCCTGCCCCATTGTGAGCATGTGGGGTGGTCTAGGAGAGGTATGGTGGCACTTTTAGGAGGTTGCCTCCTCTTGGCTGGTGGTATCTTTAGCCCAAATGAGCATTCATTCCATCTTTTTTCCTGCTGGGCTGTGAAAGTAATTCAGAGCTAATGAATGAGAGGGCACTTTTTGCTCCAAAGACTGGATTTGGGCGATACATACTCCTAGTGAGAGGAGACGTTTCCAACGAACTAGCATTATGTTACCTTGTTCTGAGCCCCAGCATCAGCCGCAGGTCACTGGGATGTTCATGTGAATGACTTCTCTGCACTACCCGCTGTGCTAGTTTACTTCGCCCAGAAAAGGAGCTGGGTGGTCTTACTGTTCTCAGACAGGACCCAAGCAGTTAGAACTTGACAGCAGCAAGGGCTGCAGCATTCTCCAGCTTTCTGAGCAAGATCTCGCCAGAGACGCTTCAGCAGCAAGAAGCCAGGAGAACACAGGATGGAAATAGCTGCAAATTTTAGAGAAGTCCTGCTTCCTATTTTATTTTTTTCGTGTCCTCTCCCGTTCTTACTTGATTGTGTATTGGTAGTATATCCACATTCCTGTGTGTATGTCTATGTGAGAGATCCTACGAAAAAGTAGACTCCAGGGTATTTTTTGCCGAGGCCTTCAGCTTTGTTATGGGAGAAACAGGTGAAGGCTTTAGAATGTATCTTTTGGTAGGAAATTGAGAAAGGAACATCACTCTATTCAATTTTTCTTGTCCCCCCCGCCCCATTCTTCAATTGCAGTTGACATTCAATTCTATTTTCTCTAATTGTTTTAAAGCTAAACGAGGAATTCTGTAACAGACTTGAGAGAGAAATCTGAAGCAGATTTAATCTAAAAGCTTCTCTTTCTATCTCCTAATCCTAAGATTTGAATTTAGCTGTTACTTATTATCTGTCTTATCTTGGTTTTGTTTTGGTAAAGGGGATTTTTTTACATTCAGTTGGAAAGCAGAATAGGAAGATATTTTAAAACTCTTTCAAAACTTTGTGCTAGGTGGTCTTATCATTGTCTCTGGTTTTCTTGTTGTTGTCCCCCTCCCCGCCCAAGAAGTTAATAGTCAGGAATACAATATGTTTGTGTTCCTAGACTGAACAGTTGAGTGTTTCCTGTGAGGTTCTAGCTGTTCCTCTTTATAACCTACTTGATCTTTAGAAATATTGGCATTTTGAAGAAACATGATATAACTGTTTGAAAATCAGTCCTTAAATGGTTTTTCTGTGAGCAGATCTGAGTTCCAGAGAAACTTATGGGTGCTTGTGGTAGTCAAAGGACAAGGGAGAAAGAATCTAAAAATTGAGGGAACTGTATCTGGGTTATATAGTCTTATGCACATTTCATTGTCTTTGCTAAGTTCAGAAGCCAGGTAGTGTTGTTTTCAAGAAATTTGATAAATTAGGTGTTCCAGTGTGCATTTTGACTTGTTTGTATACTAACTAACTGACAATCTCTGGTAGGTTTCACATGCTAACTTAAACATTATAAAACAATTGAATCAGGCTTAGCAGGATTGATCTCTTACTTCCCATAGAGGTGACACAGACATCAGAAGTATGTCTAGGAATTTAATTTAGACTCATAGTGACCAGAAGATTGTAGGTAGTAATTGCTACATGCTAACTGACTGACAGACTCTGAAAGGATCTGCATGCTGACTGACAGACCCTAGTAGTGTTCATATGCTGACTGACTGACAGACCCTAGAAGGGTTCATATGCTGACTGACTGACAGACCCTAGTAGGGTCCATATGCTGACTGACAGACCCTAGTAGTGTTCATATGCTGACTGACTGACAGACCCTAGTAGTGTTTATATGCTGACTGACAGACCCTAGTAGGGTCCATATGCTGACTGACTGACAGACCCTAGTAGGGTTCATATGCTGACTGACTGACAGACCCTAGTAGGGTTCATATGCTGACTGACTGACAGACCCTAGTAGGGTTCATATGCTGACTGACTGACGGACTCTAGGGGGTCCATATGCTGACTGACTGACAGACCCTAGTAGTGTTCATATGCTGACTGACTGACGGACTCTAGGAGGTCCATATGCTGACTGACTGATGGACCCTAGTAGTGTTCATATGCTGACTGACTGATGGACTCTAGTAGGGTCCATATGCTGACTGACTGACGGACCCTAGTAGCGTTCATATGCTGACTGACTGACGGACTCTAGCGGGGTCTATATGCTGACTGACTGACGGACCCTAGTAGTGTTCATATGCTGACTGACTGATGGACGGACCCTAGTAGGGTTCATATGCTGACTGACTGACAGACCCTAGTAGGGTCTGTACACTAACTGATTGACTGGCTTTAGTAGTCATGTAAGCTGACAGTCTGACTGTCAGACTGTTTTGTATTCGTACCAGTTGGTAGTATATGCACAATATTGCAATTCTCTGTCTGTTGCGCGTGTCCTACAAAGAAAGGAAGTAAACACTCCACATGTTTTCTTTAGGGGGAATTTCTGTAAATTATGATTTTTAATAGGCATTCTTTCAGAATCGCAGCCAGTTTCACTATTTTTAGAAAATGAAGGTTGTATATCACTTGTATGACATTTTGTAAACTCAGCTAGAAAATGCCTGCCCAAGCCTGAACCTGCTATTCTACTTGAAGTCATCTCATCCATCGCCCAAGTTCTAGGCAGGATTTTGCTTCCACTTGTTTCCGAGCCTTCTGTGCCCACAGCTTCTCTGTCATAGAATGTAGCACTCCATGGGTAATGCTGCTGATTTTAGTCTGCCGTGCTTTTGGCACTTATTCGTGATCTAATAAGTAAAAATGCAAAGGTAGTTTTGCATTCAAAATTGATTTTACGTGGTGGCAAAGTATTCTTTCCAGTAAGTCTTTCACTGGGGAATCTATGACCAATGACCGATATTTACCTATTCAATGTTTTTGTGCCTGAATTGCTTGTGTACATTTTTTAAATTGTGTATAAGTAACTAGATCATTCTGATATGGTGAGGGTTTTGCTATGGCAAAAGCAAAGGACTGATCACCAGCTGTGCCCTTTGGAGGGGTTGGCAGTGGGCTGAGTACTACTGGGTTGAATGGGAATGGACTGAATTGGGAACCCAAGCAATAGAATTGTCCTGCTGATTTTCTAAGCACAGCTTTGTTGAAAGAAGGAACAGCATTCTGATTTAATCTGGTGACACTGATATCAAAATATGCCACTCAGATCCCCAGAAGGTGTGTATACTGTATTTGAAATGTGTTTTGTGTGTGTGTGTGCAGAATGGGTAAATAAAATTTTTGAGTAACTTGAACCTATCAGAAGGCTTCTGGGTTTTTTGTTTTGTATTTTGGGTTGTGATCTCCACACTTTTTACCCCCTCACCCCTCCTCCACCCCTCATATTTTGCCTCACACTGCCTAGTGATTGAGCCGCAGACAAACCAAAGCCAGCTACCAGTGTGACCGGAGTCCTTGGTGTAGGCATGGCTCTCTTCCACCACCTTCTGGGGAAGATGGGAAGGACAGCATGAAAGGCACATGAACTTCTGTAGGAGTTGTGTGTACTTTTTGGTGCCTCTACAAGAATTACCTGTTACCTTTAACTTCCATTAACATGTAACTGTTTATTGTAAAGAAAAACTTTGAAGATCTCTCAGAATTTAGAGGGCTGTTTCTTCTAGAATATGACCTGCCTGTTTCTAAAAAGGTTACATCCAGTGGAATAAACCGGCGTTTAACTTCTGGGACAGGAAGATACAGGTGGAATTCTGTCAACATTCTCATGCCTTGCTCCTCATTACTCTAACAAGGGCTGGGAGCTCATTGGACACGCAGACTCTCGGGCTTCATCCCAGGCCTACTGAATCAGAACCTTCATCGTAACAGGATTGCCCGGTGATTCCAATGCATACTTAACGTTTGAGAAACACTGTTCTAGAGGGAAGAATTTCTCACGCGCTAAAACATCAAATCCCAGTTTATGAGAAGACATTGATTTCTGTTCTGATACTGGTTTCAGAAAGGACTGGGATAACTGCCACGGTAGAGACCCTCCTCAGAGGCCAAGTAGCCCCTGACTGCAATGCCACCTTCTTGGCATGGTGTTTTGGCTGGTGGAGCCTACATACTCTCCTTTTCCCACAGGGCCCCCTACAGCCTCTGCCTCATATTCTGGGTATGTAGCTTATGGTCCAGGTGTGAAGGGAGTGCCTGGTCCAACACGGCACAAGGAAAGTCTATTTTTCTGGGAAAGGAGCCCAGACGGTGCCACTGGAGGCTATGTGACTCCTGGGAGTAAAGGGGTGTGCGCATGTCTGTGTGCAGGTGTGGGGATGGTGGCCGTGGGGAAGCAGCGGAGGGCTTCTGCTCTGCTGCTCTTTGTTTGCCGTTAGGTGATGTTGTAATGGCTGTGTTTCTCTTCCTCTCTGGCTCCTAGGCAGAGGCCTCGCTGACTGTGCCTAGATGCTTCTCTCCGGCATCTCTCCCATCACTCTCCTGATACGGAAGCTGAGCCAGACCTCCGTGGGGGACTGGGATCTGCTGCAAAACTTGGATGTCAGCGCCTCCCGGGCTTGAACAGGAAGCGAAATGGGGATTGAACCTGTGGGACCACCACAATGGGGCCTGGAAAAGCATCACCACATTTCTCCCCTCATGCCTGATGGGAATAACAGTTACACTGAAAAACTTAACTTCCTTGTGCCTCAAAACATTAACAGCATGAACTGGTTAGTTTTCTATGATCTCTTTGCTGGGTTTGGCCCAAGTGGGCTCATCTCGTTCTGTTTCAGTGTTTAACATCCCACCCGTGACTCTCTAGCTGGCTGTTTTTTACCTAAGGTGCAAATGAAATGCACCTCTTCACATTTTGTTTCCAGGCGAGAGGGCTGAACTCCAGTAAGCCTTTTCTGTGCTGTATGAGCTGGTGTCCGCATCCATTCCCGGTGAACAGGATAGAGTACAGTTTACATTATGTTAGCGTTCACCTTTTTTTTTTTTTTTATCCATTGGAAACAGATTTGCCAGGCGAGTGGAGGGTTTCTCAGTATCGCATTCCCTTATACCTCTGTCCTGTGCTGATGGACCAGTGCTGTCAGCAGCGACCTTTTCACCTTTCCACTTAGGGAAGTTGTTCTTGTTGCAGGCCCCCTGAGGGCAGGATCTGACTGCTCGCTCCCCCAAACGGGTACTCATCTTCTAAGTGTTGTGTGGTAGCTGCTGTGTTTACCTGATGCCGCCTGCCTCTCACAGCTGAAGAGGGCCAATGGTCTCTGCAGTGATTGGGGATGAGGGCTGGAGAGAGCGGGGTGCCATTCACATCACATGAAGAAGTGAAGAAGGTTCCCTGGGAGTCAGCTCTACCAGGGAGGTCTTTTGGTTTCAAAACAGGTGCCCTTCTGTGGGGTTGGTCACCGTGACATGGTCTCTTAAGAAAGCCATGGCTGTGACTTTAAGACCCATTGGTATTCTGATGCCTGGCTCTCAGCTAGTTGTCTCTGTTTTTGTTTCTCTGTCTCACGTAACAGATGGGGGTTCGGGGGGACCAAGCCCTTAGTGCATTAGTCATTTGGTTTCCCTGAAAGATAAGCCAGGTAATTATTCCTTAGATCACTGATTGTCAAATATACAAACATGTCTGTAGATGTGATGTTCATAAGTCACTTCCCGAAGGAGGATGGAAGCTCCAAAGAATATCTCTTACAAGCAAAATCATTTCTTTTATTTTTCTAAGAATGGTACGTTTTTAGCTTTCTACACTTGTTTTCCTTTCACTCAGATGCCCACTTGCTGGGCAAGAGGGTGAGTAGCAAGCAAAGTAATGAGATGTAGCTTTTCCCAAATGGTTCTTTTATACTGTGGTTGACACGGGGCTGTTGCCGAAGACGCGATGAGCTGGACTGCAGGCGGTTCAGCATCCAGCAACTAGGAGCTTGTTTTACATGCGCAAAGCTGCCTTCAGAAAGGCTCCTGACTCCGCCCTGTAGCGGGTGATTTTCATCTCGCTGCTCGCAACATGCTGTACTGTAATGATTCTGTTCTCAGATGCAGGTGTCTTTCTGCATCTCCATACACTGTCTTTTGATGATCAGATACTTTTTTATTTAGTTATTTATTCGTCCATGTAAGGTATTTTTAAGTCCCCATATTAGTGTTTGCATGTATTTAATCAGAATGTAAGGTAATTTGTGTTGTCAGTTTTTTAGTAGAAATTGAGGTAATTTGAACATTCAAGTCTAATGTCTGTAGTGTTACCTTAAATTAAAATTTCAGAATCTAGGTATCTGTCTTCTGTAAAAGGATAATGACTATGTTAAAGCACAGCGGATTTCTTTGAATACCTTTTTGCTCATTGATTTTTATTTATAAAAATGCATTTCGCTGCAGAAAAGTTTATCTCCTCGATAAATAAAATCATGCTAAAATATGTAATATGTATTGCTTTTGTAATAAGAAATATAATAAAAGTTATTTTTAATTAAAAATGCAATTTTGAAATACACAAAGAAGATAACATTTGATACATTATTCATACACAAAATATTAATAACTGCAAAATGTGTTTGAAACTAGCTTCTTTAAAATTATTCTCAAATTACTAGATTGTAAACATTTCCAACTGATGGTTTTAACTGGTGACTCCTGCCTTTATTAAGTTCATTAGCATTTCAAAATGATATCAGTGGAATCATTATGGTCACGTATTATTAACATTCTAAAGCTATGTTAATTTATTTAACAAATATTTAATGATCACCTATTTTTTTGCCATGCAATAGCTGAAACAAAGTCCTTTTCCTCTTTCTACAACTTATTATTGGGAAGGAAACAGTTAACAGCAGTTCTGTAATCTACCCTCCCTACTTGGGATGTCTGCCCTCTGAGGAATAACCTTGACCAAAACCATTATTAAATAATAGTTATGTAAATGTTTATGATAAAGGAACTTTGAACACCCTATATAGGGTCAGTAGCAATAGAGATAAAATGAAATGTTCATAATAACCATAAAACAATTGCAAGTTGTATAGTCCAAGGCATCTGATAGAATGAGGGTGATTTATCAATTCTCTAAGTTTGCAGTTGAGAGACAGTAGTTGTAAGTGTTGCTAAATGTACTGAGCTTTAGCAGTGCATCTGGAGGAGTAATGATAAGGAGGGTGTAAAGGGTGTAATTTCCTCAGATCTCTAAGCACCTGTGCAAGTGTGTTCTCGTTCACCAATCAAGCCATCGTTTGTAGAAGGCTGGGAGGGTCTGGCATCACTGACTCTTTTACAAATAGGTGAATGAACACCCTTATTGAGTGGCTCACCGTGACACCGATGGAGTTTTTGCCAAAGCCCGTGTCTCAGAACAAGGTAAACTGTAAGATTTGTGTGAGGGCCCAACAAACACATAATGCTACTATTTTTAAATGTAGCTAGAAACTTAACAAATACATCAGGATTAGAAAATGAATGTTCAGAGAGTACTCCAGTGATGGTCATTACTTGCTTGTTTTCTGTAGCCTTAATGATTACGTTATGTCTTAAGCATCGACAGGGTCTTCACTGGAGACTCACTGTGAGGAGGGTCAACCTTCCAGCTCACTAGCTTGTCCTGGTTGGTGACAATCCTACTGGCTGTTCTTGTGGCAGTCTGGCTATTGCCTCTTAGTGTACGTTACGGTCTTGATGTATTTATTCTGCACTATCCAACCGACATTCTTTGTCTTGAACTCATTTGAAAATCTGACAAAAGCCAAGGACTCTCCCCAGAAAAAGGTAGACATGCATAAGTTTTGCATTCAGTTTAGGGAGGACATGATCTCCTGAAACCCAGGAGCTAGATAATACACACACACACACACACACACACACACACACACACGCACATACCATCTCTCTTGGTTTAAATAATCAAGAGATCCATTTGATATTAACTTTTAAAAAATATATGTTTTTATTGATTTTTTAGAGAGAGAGAGAAATATAGATGTGAGAGAGAAACATTGATCTGCTGCCTCCAGCACAGCCCTTACTGGGGAGCGAGCCCACAACCCCGGCATGTGCCCTGACCGGAAATCGAGTCAGGACCTCTGAGTCACACCAGCCAGACCGATATTACCTTTTTTAAGCAGAGGAGAAGAATATATGAAATTCTGAAGTGCTCAGGTTTTTTTACTGGACATTGTGGAATATTTAAGAATTTGAATGAACTGTAGTAATCATGGAGGGTAATATTTTATTTTTTTCCTCCTCGCCCAAGGATATGTTTTTATAGATTTTTAGGGATAGAGGAAAGGAGAGAGAGAGAAACATCGATCAGTTGCTTCCTGTTTGTATTCTAACAGGAATGGAACCTGCAACCTAGGTATGTGCCCTGATCAGGAATCAAACCTGCAACTTTTTGGTGTACAGGACAATGCTCCAAACAAGAGAACCACTCAATCAGGCAATATTTCTTTTTCTTAAAAACTTGAAGGCATAATCTATCTTCTTTTATTCTCATTAAGCCCATGCCGGCTGTATTACTTGAATCATCACAGGCAGACCTGCCTTCTAAATTCCCAAAGGCATTTAAATGCCTTTTGTTGGTTATATGCAATACCTTACCTGTGAAAACCAGGTCAGATTCTACAGGTGAATTTATTAATTTATTCTTGCAATTAAGTGAAATAATTTCAGAAGCAGAGGGACCCTTGGGAAGCAGCATTCCAAATCTAATGAGGCCTAGCCTCAGAAAGTGTAATGCCCTTCACCAACCATCCAGCCCACTCTCAGAAAATATCTTGTTGATTCACTTGGATTTTCTTCGTCAGTGATCTGCTTACCTTATTGTTTACATTCAGTTTTCACTTCCTAAGATCTCTCCTCTGTCATCCACTGCCTTTTTAAAATTTATGAATGGGATGGGAAACAGTCTTTGGGCACGATTTAAATAAGGTCTATTAAACATTCTTTTCCAAATTTAAGTTTCTGGATCATTATCATCAATGGGTTTGACCCTTATTTTTTTGCATTCATCAGTTTTCAGATTAAAGTTTCGCAAACCCAAAATACTACCAGCTTATATATGACACAAGGTTACTGCTACCTACAATGACATTTAGAGATAAGCAGTCTAAGACTAGAATGGAGCTCCCTCAATCATGAAGGACTCATGTCCTTCTGACATGTTAACTCATCATCCTCAAAGTATATTAGATCCTACCTCATAGTACAATGTAGCTATTCAAACTACAGGAATCATGTCTACATTCCACTCAGCAGGAAGGAACAAAAAGGGCACACCAACTGCCTTTAAGGATATTTTCTAGGTATTGCATATAATATTTATGCTCACATCCCATTGGCTGTGGGAGACTTTTTGCATGGCATCCATCTTGTTAAAATCTGCTCTGCCATCTCCGGCCCCAAGGCAGGGTCTCTCTGCATACAGTGTCTGCATTCCTCTAGATAATTGTTTACTCCATTCTTTGCTTATCATTTGTTCCACCTGGGGTATTTACTGGAATTTGCTTCAGGTGGGATACTCATGAACTGTTTCACCTGTTTTTCCCCTATATATTATGTGAACTCCCCCTGAATAAACGAGTCTTGATCAGAATCCTGTCTTGTCTCCATTTCTCGTGTCTCTTGTCCCTCCTCATCCTCACTCCCCCTCTAGAGTCCTCGTTGCTCGACCTGCAGGACGGGTCAATTGGCCAAAGAGTCCAATGGCTATATGTAGCTGTAAGGTAGGCTGAAAATGTATTTTTCTAAAAAACTCCAGGTGGCCTTGTGTGAGCTATAATTCTAGGGTTTAATTACTAAAGAAGAAAGATGAATGGATATTGGTAAGGGTTAGCTATCTAGTAATAGGGACTTTGTAGCAAGTCTAAAGGACTATAACAAGGTGAGCAATAGTCTTTGCAGTGTTATGCTGCCATCATTTAAAGAGAGTATTTTCATTCATCAAGTCTGATATGGCCACAATGCATGTCTGTGTTAACTCACAACCAAAGCTTACTCTACAATATTTCCCTGACACTTTGACCTTTTGAAATTTTATATTAGTTTTACTCTCATATAATATGCATAAAAGCTACTTTTCTGGTCCAGGCTTTTCTTGGTGAGGCATTCAAGAAATACCAAGTCAATATATAAAAACGAATTGGAGAAGTAATTTAAATCTTTTCTGAATTATTTTGAAAAAGACCAAAGCAAATTCATTCATAACATACTGTAGAACTTCTTAAAATCATCTTTTTCCAATTCTCTTAAAATCTCACACACACCCCGCAATGTGTGCACCCCGTGTTGTACTCCCCACGACTCTTCCCCTAGCCTAGGCATGGCTGACTTTTGTATTTCTCCCCCTCCCCTTCACCTCCTGATCTCTTCCACTAATTACTGCCTGCCCATTCCTTTGTAAGGCAACCAAACCAGTCTGAGTACAACTTTTGCACCTTACCTACTACCCAGTTCTCCAGAAAACAATCTAGATTAGATCAAATTTTTCTTAATGTTCAAAGGTCTAGAAGAGCCTGTAATGCTTATTTATTAATTTATTCAAACTCAGACACTCATAATAAAACATATAATTCTATAATCCCTTATATATAATTTGTAAAATCTAAATAACTTTGAAAACAAAGTTTTCTTCTAGTTTATTTGACAGCAAAACCTGACCTGAACTTTGTGAGGGTATTTATAGTCTCTATATATCCCACTTAGTGTAAATAGTTTTACATTTCATGAAGAAATATTAGTAAAACAATGTTATAAGCAATATAGTACCTTTCTAAAGTCCTAATAATTCTGAATCTGAAATAATTCTCCATTAAGATTATTTCCAGGAATAATGCTGTATTTTATGCCCATATTTATGTAGGTCTAGACAACATTTTCTTTCACTTCAAAAAATCATTTGTTGTATAAACACTATGTACATTAGATACTGAGAAATATGTATTCCCCAAGAAGATGAATATGTGGTACGGTAAGAAAAATTACTCAAAACTTGGAACTAGGCAAAAAGGAATCACTGGAGAAATTTGTCAGTGAATTACTAAATATTGTCCAGCTGACCCTCTCTGGGGATTATCATTTACCCAGAAATTACACAAGGGTGTGTACTTTTGTTTCATTTTCTATTAACTAGGCTTAAAAATATATATAACTATAAAAGTAGAGGTTAATTTGTAGAAAATGGATAAGAATGCAAGCAATTCTTTTCTGAGAATATTACAAATGATTCTGATCACAGCAAAGCAGATGAATTTTGTCCAGTATAGTAAATTAATATTCATTAATTAGAAAAACTGGTTCCAAATATTAGTTTTTGCCCTGTATGATATTAACCAGTGTTGCATTTACTGGAAAAGCAATATCAGAATGCCTTTGCCTGGAGGACTACATACATCTTGGTTCCTCAAATTCTTCTTTGCACTAGACATGGCATCTTAATGGTCCCTTCATTAACTGAGTTAAAATCTCTGACACATACTTATTTTATATGTACGTGATTGACATGTTATTAACTATTTGAAAATTATACTTTAAACAGTGTTTGCACTTTAGGAACTCACATATTAGTTGACCAAAGATAAGATTTGGAAAAACCATAAAGGTGCTATCCATTAAATGATAAATTATCAGTGTGGATTTGAGAGACTGGAGTCAAATTTCTGTAGGACTGGGTTCTTTTCATCTATTCTGTGTTAGTTTTTATTCATTTATAGACAATTCTGCTTTGCATTCTGGAGTGCAAAGGAAAGGAACATAAACAGAGACAAGGCACACTCCCTGTCCTGGAGTTGTTAACAGTCTAGTGTGGGGGAAAAATATGAATGAGTCATTCCAAAGTGATGCTAACGGGTGTGGAAGAGGATAACACTTAAGATCTTACTGTGTCCCTATTGCTTTATATTTATTATAAAGCTGTATATTTACTATTTATTTTTATTTATTTAAAAATTTTATTGATATTGTAGAGAGAGGGGGAGAGAGAAACATCCGTCGGCTGTCTCCTGCGCGCCCCCTACTGGGTCCAGCCGGCAACCTGGGCATGTGCCCTGACTGGCAATTGAACTGGGACCTCTCAGTCCGTGGGACAATATACAGTCTACTGGGCCACATGGGCTGAGCTATTTACTATTTTTTAAACCTAAAATTTTGTAGACGTTTTACCCCCATTTTATAATTGGAGCATGAACAACCAGCTAATTGTTGTAATCGTCATGGACAAGAAGCTATGAGAGCCCCAAAGCAATTTTACATGCTTTAATTCCTGAGACCAAAGTATTCCTGTCATCTCTCTCTCTCAGTTCATTTGGTTGACTCTAAACTCAGGCCTGCCCTCAGAAAGACCCACAGAATTGGAAGCCTGGCGCAGGCCCGGCTCTGATGAGGACAGTGTGTTGCTGCAGGACTTTTGAGTTCTTCTTAGGTTTGGAGTCAATCAGGACCAGCTCCTAGCTGGGAAGCCATAAATCTGGAAGATCAGAGACAGGTGAGTTGACTTCCCTGGGCTTTCGGTCTTCAGTGCTGCTCATAGCCTTAGGATAGCAAGTATTTGGGCAAGGGGGACGAGGTAGTGCATGGAGTTGGGTTTTACCTGGGAAAGCATCAGGAATTGGCATCCCCTCCTCCATCTGCAACACTGGAGAGAGTTGCAGAAGGTGGACTTTAAACATAGCAAATATTGACAAAAGTGAAGGTCATGCAAGACCATTTGGCCCAAATCTGTCGTGGAAGGGTAAGACTTACGCTCAAAGGCACTAGTCAACTGGATTTGCATGAACGGAACCTGGGCAATTTCTGAAACTGAGTTTCAAAACTGGCAGCTCTTTTACCACCCCTCTGAGTTTTTGCAAATTCCCTCCCTGTACCAACTTCCTTACAGCTATTCTTATTTCCTGTTATGAGATTTTTTTTTTTTTTCGTTATTTCCAGGAAAGAGGAATCAATGCAAGCCCTTCTCTAGGAAGGAGGTGGTTGGTTGGTCTGATCTTAAGCGGTGTTAAAAGATCTGTTGTGATCCAAACCAGGTGTCTGGGCTGGGTTCATTCCAGCCTGGGTCAAGCAATTGATCACAAGATGCTTTTTTGGTTTATGTGCTATCTTGTGGGTATGTGGCTGATTTCTGGCTCAGCTGGTACGTATACTTTTCTTAAGCTCAGTTTTCAAGGCACTTGATATCAGTTTATGGGTTGTGAGGCATTCTGTCTAGGATTTTAATGAAATTTAAATCAATGAAATGTATTTACCTTATTGAAAAATCTCAAATTACTTGACTGAATTCTCTGTACTCCATAGGGGTTTAGGAAATATTTAATGACAAGACTGCTCTGTAAGTGGGTGGCTACCTGTTTACTTTCCTCTTCTGTTCTAGGAGCAAAAACAGTACCAGTTTCAAAATCTTGAGTTGTCTTATTGTTTACAAACTCCAGGACTGACATTTGGAAAGGGAATTGTTTCTTTAGGAGTGGATAACTTATGGCTGAATTCGAGGAAAATTCCTGTTCTTCATTTGAAAACAAAACTTTGGGAGTCCTTGGGTAGGGAGGGATGTGGATGTACATGAACATGGAAGAGTACAAGTGATAATAATTCAGCAAAAAAAGGGTGAGAAGTGGGAATCTAATAAGGGCTTCCTCATGGCACATAATCTTCCAGGTGAATCTATTTCCTTTTCCCTCCAGCACAGAGCTGTCCAGACCTTCTCCCAGTGGACAATAGTATATTTGTTGCAGAGGATGTGAATGGGCAAGTTCTGGGGACTTATGTTTGTCTTGCGGGCTACCACCTGGTAGGAGAGAAAACCATTTTTTGCAATGCCTCTAAGGAATGGAACACCCCCACTCCCAAGTGCCACTGTAAGTTTGATCTTTCTGCTTCTTCGTCCATCTTGTCATCCCACTGTCTTCTTTCACATTCTACCTCCAGCGGTTCATGTTAACATTTTATAAGAAAAAAATTCCAATTTCTAGGAACCCACTTTTAAATCACTCTAGTGGTGGAACTTCTTATAGAGGATACATAATTAGCTCTTAATAGACTCAATCATCCCTACAAGAAGGAAAGAATTTTTACCATATAGTAAAATGACTTTGGGGGGGGGCTGTAATTTGTTTCATATCATACTGATTTAAAAATTTTATATTATGAACTTTTTAAACTTATACAAAAGGCCAATGAGTAAAATGAACACATATGTACTTATCACCCAGCTTCATCAAGTATCGACATACGAATCTTTCTTCATCTATAATTCTGCTTTGCATTATTATTATTTTGAGGTAAATATATCATTTTACTTCATTCATCATATAACTTTGACCTGGGAAACATTTATATTTTCAATTTACAAATGTGGTAACTGAGATCCAAGTGGTTCGCCCAAGTTCACCAAACTCATTTGTGGTGTTTGTAGAGATGGAGGATAAGTGGTCCATATTCTCTTTGTTATTGCTATTTTTAGGAAGAGTTGGAGTCGTTCTCCTTTATACCCAGAGTAAAGCACACCAGCATGGTTACCTTTTATTCATGTCTCTCTGCACTGTTTCTTGTTTTCACACTTGGGAAAACAAAATGAAGTAAAAAATGATAAGTAGTGTATATATTTGGTTGGATCAAGGGGAAGGAAATACTTGCCTCAAACACAGGCTCGAGCATTTTGAGCAATGCTTTACACAACAGGATGACAAACTTGCTCCTGGTGATTTCCAGTTATATGCTTAATTATATTTAGTAGGTTCATGTGCCGATCGTCACTCTTGTGCATAACCAAGACCTTTTCTGACACACTCAGGCCAGCTCAGTCTTTTCTCATTCTGATCGATATGGTTTGGTACCAGGTACCAGTCCCTATTTATTTATTTATTTATTTATTTATTTATTTATTTATTTATTTATTTTTTTTATTTTTTTATTTTTTGAATCTCCCTTTATCCCTTTATTTTATTTTATTTTTTTTTTATTGATTAATTTTTGTTACAAATGATTCTCCTTTTTTCCCCCAGTGGTTCCCCCCTCCCCCTTCCCTCCCCGCCCCTTCCCCCGATTGTTGTCCATGTCCACTGTTCATGCCTATATGCATATAAATTCTGTTGTTCATCCCTCTCTCAGTTCCCCACTCCTTAGGGGATTGTCCTCAAACTGTTATGTTCATTATATTCCAGAAATCAGTGAGATCATATGAAATTTGTCTTTCTCTGCTTGGCTTGTTTCACTCAGGATGATACTTTCCAGGTCCCTCCATGTAGTCTCAAAGGACAAGAGATCTTTCTTTCTTACCGCTGCGTAGTACTCCATTGTGTATATGTACCACAGCTTTTTAATCCATTCGTCTACTGATGGGCACTTGGGCTGTTTCCAGATCTTAGCGATTGTAAATAGTGCTGCTACAAAGATGGGGGTACATATATTCTTTCTGATTGGTGTTTCAGGCTTCTTAGGGTATATTCCTAGAAGTGGGATCACTGGGTCAAATGGGAGTTCAATTTTTAATTTTTTGAGGTGACACCATATTGTTTTCCATAGTGGCTGCACCAGTCTGCATTCCCACCAACAGTGTACTAGAGTCCCCTTTTCTCCACACCCTCGCCAACACTTGTTGTTTGATGATTTGTTGATGGCGGCCATTCTGACCGGTGTGAGGTGATACCTCATTGTTGTTTTGATTTGCATCTCTCTGATGATTAGTGATGACCCTATTTATAAAGTGCGGTTTTAGCTCTAATTTCTTGTTTTCTCTGTGGAGCGTGAGGAGGTCTAGCGTTTGCTATGGTGGGTTCATCCTGGCCCTTTCAGATCACTGCCTGTTTTCTTCTTCAGTGGGCCACTGTCCTGACCCTGTGCTGGTGAACGGTGAGTTTAGTTCCCCGGGGCCTGTGAATGTGACAGACAAAATCACGTTCAAGTGCAACGAGCACTACATCCTCAAAGGCAGCAATTGGAGCCAGTGCCTAGAGGACCACACCTGGGTGCCTCCCCTTCCCGTCTGCAAAAGCAGTAAGTACAATAGAAACAAATGCAAACCCCAAAGATGCTAATGAACAGCGACACCTAGGCATCACCACCTCCTTCGGATGCTTTCCTCTTTTTCTCCTATCAGGAAGGGTTTAGGATCTAACAGGCAGCCAAGAAACAGGTGGGACTCACAGAGCAGAGCCTCAGCTCAGGTGGTGTACAAACAGTAAACAACACTTTTTTCTTTTCTCAAGTAGGATTGCCATCCTCGTAGGTCCAACCCAGGGTAGTTTAGGATATCTGACTATTCTTTGTTTGCTTGTTTTTTGTTTTTAAAATTTCAAGATAGTGACTTAAAGTTTTTATTTAAAAAATAAGCAAAAACAGGAAAAAATGACCATAACTCACCCAACTCATAAAATAAGAATTAAAAGTACCTCTTATTATTTTATTATATAAAATAAGAGTTGAAAGTACCTCCTTTATCACTATAATTTACAGCTCTTGGAGGTAATTAGTTGGATGTTTTTATTTCATGACTTTTCTTATATTTATGCAGACATTTTATTTATTTATTTTTATTAATTTATTTTTGTTACAGATGTTTCCCCCCCATTGACACTATGCAGACATTTTAAATAAACAAATGCATACAAACATATCTACCTACAAAAATGGAACTGTGCTATACATATTTTTAAAATTGCTTCTTTCAGAACTCATGGACATGGACAACAGTGTGGTGATTGTGGGGAGGAAGGGGGAGTGGGGGAGTGAAGGTGGAAGAGGGTATGGGGGGATAAATGGTGATGGGAAGTAATAAAATAAAGAAAAAAAAACAAACATAAAAGATAACAATTTAAAAGAAAATTGCTGCTTTCATATAACAATATACATGGAAAGCTTTTTTAGATGTGTATGTATAGCTCTATCTGCTGCTTTTTAATAACTGCGTGTACATGTGCCATAACTTATTCTACATCTTTCATATTGATGAATGTTTATTTTCATATTTTTTTGCTATTACAAATATTGCTGAACAAATAGTATTATATACACGTATACACATTTGTATATCTTTATTTCTATGCTATTACTGCTGTAGTATAGATTCCTAGAATGCTCAAAGGATATCATTAGTTGCAAAATATACTTAAAAGATCCAATAAATTCTACTACAAACTTTATTCTTGAATTATAAAATAAATATTTAAAAAATCAATAGTTTTTACTTTTTAGAAATAATTGTTAGGTGAATATTGAAATATAAAAATAATTCCGTTCATGAAACCTATATGAAACTTCACTGAAGGACATAAAATAAGACTGGAATAAAAGAAAAGGTGTGCCATGCTCTGGATGGGCAGACTTGCTATTACAGTGCAATCCTAACCAGAATTTCAAATTAAACATGAAACAAAAAAATAATCTAAAAATCAAATTTGGAAGAGTATATATCTAACATTGCAAATTTATATATAAACAATTTTTTAAGGAGCATTTTAGTTTTACAATTAAACTGAGAGGAAGGTACAGAGATTTCCCATATATCCTTTATTCCCACACATACATAGCCTCCTCCATCAACAATATCACTCACCAGAATGGTACCTTTTTTACCAGGATCAATGTACATTAACACATCACCATCACCCAAAGATGGTAGGTCACATTAGAAGTTCACTTTTGATGTTGTACATTCAATGGGTGAGGACAAATGTGTAATTACATGTATCCATCATTAGAATCATAGAGTATTTTCACTGCCCTGAAAATCTGCTCTGCTCTGCCTATTTATCCCTCTACTTCCCAACCCTCTCAAGCCCTGATATTTTTATTGTTTTAATAGTTTTGTCTTTTCTAGAATATCATATAATTGCAATCATAAAGTTATGTAGCCTTTTCAGATTGCTTCTTTCACTTTATAATATGCTTTTAAGATTCATCCATGTCTTTTCATGGCTTGATAGCTCATTCCTTTTTATTGCTGAATAATCTTTCATTTCTGGATGTAGCACAGCTTATTTATCCATTCACCTCTATAGGATATCTCGGTTGCTTCCAAATTTTGGTAATTATGAATAAAGCTGCTAAAGACACTGTGTGCAGGTTTTTGTGTGGACATAGTTTTTAATTCCTTAGAGTAAATACTATGGAGGAATATTGCTGGATCATGTGGTAAGAGTATATTTAGTTGTGCAAGAAAAGTTTAAGAATAGAAATTCTAAATTCCCAAATGAGCCCCAAACAATATGTATGTATCTCAAATTTATGAAAGAATATGAAACATTACTAAAAATTACAGAAATATTAAAATTTAATACAATTTTTTTACTTATCAGATTAGCTGAAACAGTGATTTCATCTAATATCATTCAGAATATGAGGTGCCAGCCACTTATATCAGTGAGAGAAAGTGATATCACTCTTTAGATGTATTTTGACAATAGCTATTAAAGTAATAAATAGGCAGTTTAAAGGTACAAATTATATATATTCTTATTCTTAAGACATACACATATACTGCATGTTATTAAAATACAAGCATGTAAAATAATTTACATCACTACCTTGACACATTTTAAAGCACTTATTTTTTCCAGGCTCTGTTTTGCTCCTTTTCAATTCAGTTGTTCCAGTCGTAGCTCCAAAATGCAGGATCTCTGTCTCTTTGTTTGAGTTCATTGCCCAGATCTTAGGGAAGCTTCCTAGGTCCCTGAATAAAGCAGATTCTTTTCTCTTTAGATCCAAGATCCACATCATCTCCTTCAGTTCAAAACTGTACTCTTTAAAGTCACCAGAAAAACCCTATTTTAGCTAAAACCCTATTTTAGTTCCTTAATCAATGCACTGAAATTCTTCTTCCTTTTCTCTATACAGCATTTGAACTCAGTTTTTGATCTAACAATTATTTATTAACTGCTCGAGTAATGCATCTCTGTTGTAAAACAAAAAAAAAAAAAATAAATCAGAAAAGAAAAATAAAACATTTAATTATTTACAAACTGACCACCCAGGCATAACAGAGTACTTACATATATACTTTTCAGGCTTTTTTTGGTTCATATATGTGTGTGTATGATGGTGTTTTGGAAAAGTAGTACATTATACATACTCTTTTCTGTTTTTACTCAGTTGTTTTTTGTTGAAAACCTTTATGTTTCAGTGAATATGCACTTATTTAATATTCTTGATTTAGCCTTTAATCTTGATCAACATGTTTATACTCAATCTCAGAGTTAAAAGGGTAATGTCATATAATCTGCTCCTTTTATAGGTTAGGCAGGATGCCAAGAGGGATGAAATGGCTTCCTTAGTGCCACGTGGTGACTGAAGGAGCCAGAACCAAAACTCACAGTATCTCCACCCGTTTTTTGTTTTTGTTTTTGGATGAAGCTCTCGTATTATATAACTCTGTCCCACAGAGGATGTCAACATCCATTGGAACTCAATTTATCTTCAGTTTCAGGGAGTTACTTCTTCCACTTCTACTTATAGGCTAAATTTTCTTTTCTTGTACACAGACAATTAGCAACTCTATAACTTAAATTTCCTTTCCTTGAGCTCCTGCCAATCAGAAAATAATCTCAAACCGCTAATGACTCAGGATGAGCCCAGGGAGGGGTCTTTCCTATGGACAAATATAATTTTGACCGAAGCAAGTGAGTGAAGAACATGTTCCTAGATCCCACATGTACTGCTATGAAGATGGTAGGTGCTGCCATAGACAGTTGCTTCCGGGGGGTGCTGTTAACTGAGCATAACTGGATTTCACAACTGTCACTCCTATGCCCCTCTCTCTCAGGAGACTGTGGCCCTCCTGGGAATCTAGCTCATGGCTATTTTAAAGGAAGAGATTTCAATGCAGGATCTACCATTACTTATTACTGTGACGAGAGGTAAGTGTAAGCAGCCTTTCGAATAAAGCTGGTAGCACTGTTTTTGGGAATGACCTCGTCTGTCTCAAACGAGTGCCCTGCTTTCCTACTGCTCAGGATTCTGAATTTATTCTAATTTTGAGAGTTGCCTTAACCCACTTCCAGCTCCACCCTAGAAGACAGACCAGTCCTCCTATTTATCCTAATTAATGTATCACTTTTTTTTTTATTCTTAGGTAAGACAAAGTAAGATATTATACATTTATATTTCTTTCTAAAGAACCTCAGAACAAAAAACTCAAAGAAAGACAGAACATATGGAATTGCAGAAATAGAGTAATAGATCTATCAGCATATAGGTTCTTAACATCCCTAATTAAAGTCTAGCCTTCATTTAGATGGCCTGGTCACCCAACTTGTAGATCTAGATTTTTCTTCTCCTCTTTGCCTCATTTTTATGAACTCAGGGTTATGTGCCCTCATTAGCATTTCAATCTCATTATATACCTCCAACAAGCTTTGCAGTCAACTCTCATGTTTTTCAGATTTAAAAGCTGCAGCTAGCTCTTTCTTAGCCAGTTCACTAAGATTTATTTGAAGGCTGTTTCTAGCTTTCTACTCCTTTTTACTTTTTTTCTGAAATTATTGAAAATATTATAGATGTTCCCCTTTCCCCCCTCCACTGAAGCCCACCCCCCAACCCTCTCCTCCTCTCCCCAACCTAATGTCCATTGGTTGTGCATATGTGCATATAAGTTGTTTATCTCTTACTACCCCTCCCACTCCCCATCCCTCTGAGGTTTGTCAGTCTGTTCCCTGCTTCCATGACTCTGGATCTATTTTGATCGATAGCTTATTTTGTTCATGATGTTCCATAAGTAAGTGAGATCATGTGGTACTTGTCTTTGTCTGACTGGCTTATTTTGCTTAGCATAATACTCTCCAGTTCTACTCTTTTTAAAAGCATAAATAGAATGTGCTTTTTCAAAGTCCCTCCTCCAACCTCCCCACCCAAAATTGTATATGAAAACACATATATTCAAAATTTCGCACTTCTCCATGTTTTATGGGTTCGCTCATCAGTGGGTCCTCTCCACCCCTCAAAAGAGGGGCTTTACTTTATTACTACTTTATAATACTGAAATAACTTAAGCATGCCTTATGGATCAGGGGTAGAGAGGTGGGTTCTATCACAACATGAAATACCGAAATGCAACACAAAACCAGCCTTAGTTGCCAGTTCAGAAGGTGGAAAGGCTACGTGTTGTTGCCATTCTAATTTTTGTTCAGATACCGCTTGGTGGGCACACAAGAGCAGCAGTGCATTGACGGGGAGTGGAGCAGTGCACTTCCGGTCTGCGAATTGATCCAAGAAGCTCCCAAACCAGCTCTGCAGCCTGAGTGTGAGAGGGCACTGGTAAGTAGTAGGGTGTCTGTCTTGTTCACAGTTGTTATCTCCAGAGCCCTGCATTACTCCTGGTCCATGCTTAGTAAATATCTGTTCAGTTTGGAATGCTTTTGATGGGTTGGCCTTGGCCTGATTGTAGGACGGAGCTCATGAACCATTCTCTCACATTTTTATCTATGGTAGTTTCCTTTTGCCACCATCACCACTAATACCTCACGAGGCGCTGTTGGTAGTAGCTGTTGTCTCGTGAGCTTTATAGAGCAAAGTACATAAACTCATGCCTTAGACTTGAAGTATTGCTGTGAAAGGTCTCTAAAATTCTTCTAGACTGTAAAACACAGTGAACAGATTACATCTCATATAGACTCTCCTTTTAGTTTATATTTACTACTGAAATAATAATAAGTATACTTAAGCATCATGTTTAAGACCTAGATCCCTATTTAAGTTAGCCTTGTTCTAGCTTCATGGACCTAAGCACTGCTCACTACCTTCAGAATATCTAGCAGGGTCTCAGTTCTTGTTTTAATTTACAAAACATTTTCTTTCTTCAGCTTGCCTTTCAAGAGAATAAGGAACTTTGCAAAGCCATAAAGAACTTTATGCAAAGGTTAAAGGAAAATGGCTCAAAAATGGAGGAACTAAAATATTCTCTGGAAATAAAGAAAACTGAATTGGCGGCAAAAATTTTTTCCTGATATTGTAACTGAGCTAACTGAGTAATGGAAATATACCTACGAATAAATTTTCTCTTGGTTCTGAAATTGGTTTTATATTTTTCTCTCATTGGACCGAAAAGCAACTTCATAGTAACCAACTGCAGTTGTATAATGCACTGTGTGTGTGTGCACATGTGCGTGTGTGTGCATGTATGCATGTGTGTGCATGTGTGTGTGTGTGTGTTTTGAAGGTGGAAAGACCAAGTTTGGTGACTGTCTTGTTTAAGATCAGAATTAGCAACAAATTAATGGAGAATGAAGGGTTAAATTTTCTGTTTGTAAGGAAAATTGAAAGCTCAGAGCATAGCTAAGAGTGTGTCTCATGTTAATATGAGATAGGAATGATGAGGTCAAAATTAACCTCAAATTAACCAAAACTTAAGAGGTAAAAATTAACCTTTTTTTTTGGGCAAATAGGCTCAGAACAGCTATATCTTAAAATGAACCATTGAGAAAAAAGTAGAATTAGGACCCAAACTCTCTCTTGGGTCTCCGCTATATCCTATTTATGAAACCAGGTTTCCAAATCTTCTGCAATAATATTGCTCACTGACTTTTGGATGAAATCCATCATGTGTGGTAAATTTGAGATGGCGCAGCATGTGTGAATATATTCTTTTTTTGAAGACAGAAGACACAAGCATCCCAAGGTTTTCCTGTCAAGATGTCATACTGAGCTGACATCACAAGCTTCTTCCATCTCACACTCTGCCCTTTACTTAAAACACATAGAAAATCTGGGTAAAATAATAATAATACAAAAACACGTAAGAGAGCTTGAAACAATTGAACACCTCTAGGTGAGGTTGCAAAAAAGATTAAGAGATGGACACTTAAGTAGCCCACAGTTTATTAATAGATACAAGACATGGATATACATATCAACACTTTTCACTGAATAATGTCTATGGGAGGAGCTCAGGTGTAAAGTAGATGATTTCCATCTGGGAAGAGGAGGCAGGAAAATTGTCAAGAAAGAGGTCATAGTTATTTGAGCCTTTAAAAATGAGTAAGAGTTAGAAGCAAAGATTAGGGAAGAGACATTCCTAGTGGAAAGATAATTTGAGAAATGTAATAGAGTCAAGAGTTTTTTTGACCAAGTGAGTCCACCCCTAAAATTAATCTAACTTGAGCAAAATGATTTTTAATTTGAAGCTATTCATTATATTATTGCCTATATTGTCTGCACTAGCAAGACCTTGTGAACATTTGAAAAGTCCAATCTTAGGAAAATTTTAAATAAATTATGGTACATCAAATATAATGCAGCCTTTTACAGTGATAATTATGAGCAGAAAATCTTAAAAATATAATCTTAAGTAAAAATAAAATGCAAAATAACAAGTACTTACAATCGCATTTATTAAAACCTTATTCTGCCTGGTCAGCGTGGCTCAGTGGTTGAGCATTGTCCCATGCACTGAGAGGTCCCAGTTCAATTCCCTGTCAGGGCACATGCCTGGGTTGCCGGTTTGATCCCCAGTAGGGGGCGTGCAGGAGGCAGCCAATCAATGTTTCTCTCTCACATCCATGTTTTTCTCTCTCCCTTTCTTTCTCTCTAAAAATGTCAATAAAAAACATATTAAAAATATAGAGATTAAAAAAATGGCTGGAAATATCCATTACAGTGAGTTTATAGAGGGTTTTAAAGGGTATGTTAGAGATTTTAAACTTTATTTGGTAGGCAGTGAGGACAGATGGAAGTGATGAGGACAGAACACAGACTATTTTTCTCACAACAGTAGGTTGATAGGTGGAAGCAGGAAAAGAACTGAGACAGAGAATCTATTCAACAGTCCACATGAGAGACAGTGATGACCTGAACTGGTTTGATGGCAACAGAAATATAGAAGAAACAGCAGGTGAGAGACATTGCAAAATCCAATATAAACATGTGAACTGATTGAACTTTGGAGAATGAGGAAGAGGAAGGGTATGAGGGTGAGTCTGACATTTTATTCCTGGGAGCCTGGATTAATGTTGGGGTCAGAGGTGAGGCTTCTGGGAAGGAAAGAAGTTTCCTTTTGAATGTGCCAAGTGTAAGGTGCTTATAAAATGTATAGTGGGCTAGAAAAATGTGAGTCTACATTTAGGAGAGTAATTAGAAATAAAGATGTAGTTATGGGATAGTTCTCTCATAAGGAATAGTTAAAGCCATTAGAGCAGGTAAGATAATTAAAGATGTGAAGAAAAAATTTTTTGAAAAGAAGAACCTGAGATGTATCTATATTTAGAGATGAGAAGGAGGAAGTAAGGGTAACAATTACCAAGAAAGAGCAATTAGTAAGATTGGGGAATCAGGAAAGTTTAGGGTGATGGAAGCCAACGGAGAAAAGAGTTTCAGAAAGGAGATGATCAGCAGTGTTCCAGGCTGCTGAGAAATCACGAAATGAATTAAAGAATTTTGGAACTGGAGACAAGGGCGTGCCTCAAAGAGGTCTCTAAGCAATGGCGGGAAGAAGCCAGATGGAAAGGCTACAAAAGCAGTGGTGGAGTGGTTAATGAGAAAGGGTAGGGAGGAAATGTAGGAGACTTTTTTGAGAAGTTCAGTATCTCACAACAAAAGAAAAATAGAATTTGAGGTTTCAGCAAAATTAAGGGAATATTTCAGGATGAAAGACACATTGAAAATAAGGAAGGCCCTGGCCAGTAGCCCAGTTGGTTAGAGCATTGTCCTGATATACCAAGGTTTCAAGTTCGATACAATAATCAAGCAATGAATACATAAATAAGTAGAACAACAAATAGATCCCCCCCCCCTCAAATCAAGAAAATGAGGAAAAGAATAAACAAATATTTTCTGAAATAAGGGTGAACAGGAAAGAAAATTTGAGGTGGGGAGAAGCTACTGCAGAATGATTTTTTTTTAAGTGAAGTAGGAGGCAAAGTCATCTGCTGAGAATAAGACAATTTAGTCACCTGGAAAGAAAAATTTGAAATAGTCACTCTGGAAGGTAAATCACTCCAATAGATTAGGAAATGGTATTTTCAAGACCCAAGTTTTTTTTTTTTTGTTTTGTTTTGTTTTTAATCCTCACCCAAGGATATTTTTCCATTTTTTGTACAGATAGAGTGGGAGGGAGAGAAAGTAAGGGAGAGAGAGAAACATCGACGTGAAGGGACACATCGAGTGGCTGCCACCCGCACGACCAACCAGGGCCGGGGACAAACTGCAACCGAAGTACGTGCCCTTAGCGGGAACTGAACCTGGGTCTCTCCGGACCGCAGGCCGACGCTCTAACCGCTGAGCCAAACTGGCCAGGGCTCAAGACCCAAGTTTAAGGTGGTATCTCCTTTAACTTAGTTCTCAAAACTGCACAATTTGAAATCCTCCTTTATGCTCATTCTTGTCAAATCATCAAATCAGTTTCACCTTTGTGACTTGGCCCATGTTCTTTTTTACCTCTAATATCTTCCTCATTTTAATCTAATAATTTCCACTTTTCATTCAAAGCTCAGCCAAATGTCATATCTTCTGCTGGGGGTTTGACTCCTTTTCTGAAATCTTTATGAGATTTTTGGTGTTTATCACAGAAAAAGCAGCGTTGTCAGGAAAAATTGCTCTTTTAACAGCATCTCCTGAATACATAGACTTTAATCTTGAGGATTAATAGCTTGATGGGATAATGTCAGGGTTTGGGATCCCTCCTAGATCTATGTGATAACAAATGTGGCTGAACATTCATTGCATTCTTCTGATAGACATTGCACTAAATGGTAGACTAATTTCTGGAGGTCATTTAGTGCCCAGCATTTAGTAGTACTGGTGGTGGTAGTAGTTAACATCTACTGAGTACTAATATCATTGCAGGCAACTTGGAACATGTCAGGAACTCAGTAAATGTGTTAAACTCCCCACATTTTGTACTTTGTTGAGGTGGGGTGGAGACCAGTACAGGGCAAGGTCACTGAGCCCCAGGAGAGCCTGCTGGACCTAGCATCCTGGCAAATGGATATTTGTGAACTTTGTCTGAACCCTCCTCCAGATGAGGTTTCCAGGCTAGCTGGATTGCATCTTTCATAACCTTTTTTGTTTATGAAAAGAAAAAAAGAATTCTGGCATCAAATTCAGATTACACTTTCATTTAGGGGAAATGGTTGGCAAAGAGAAAGTAAATGATTATGACATCTTATCAAGAGTGAGGAGTGAGGCTTAGTGAAGAGGAAGGAGATTAGGTAAACACTGGTGCTGTGTTTCTGCTGTTAATCATTCACTGAGCCAGCAGAGAGTCTGCTCATCCATTTCTATTCCCTGTATCTGATCAGCCAATAACATGGCTGGAATTACGGGACTTTTGGTGGAGCAATTACTAGACAGCTTCAAGGTTTTCTGGTAAACTCTTATCTGGGGAGGAACGAGGACTATTAGAGATCAAGGCAGTTTTCTTCCATGAGAAACTACCCAAGGCACCATGATAGAATCTTCTACTTCTTCCTCAGCTACTTGCAGGTCAGTGGATTACTTGTACCTTGGGGGAAAGGCTGGTGGTTTGGCCTTTGAGGAGTGCAAGATTAGGACAAGCCATAGATAAACACTTGGGGGTGATATTAGCAGGAATCTTTTCAGGAGTACTGCATTAGGGCATAGCATGACTTAATCTTTTCTGAGCCTCAATTTTTATAAATAGGGGAATAATAATGCATACTCAAAATAAACTGAAGTCAAAAAGAAGTAAGATGTTGCTATTATTGTTATATGTAAAAGTTGAGTGTGTTGGTTTGTTCTTTTTTTTTTTTTTTCACCATCCACGTAGGAGAGTTGAGGCAGGAGGTAAGCAAGACTTCTCAAAGGGGTTCAAAGAAGACCTGGTTTTCATAGTCTACAAGAATGCAATTTCCTCTGGAGATTTTATTAACCCCTCTGTATCTCCTTCACCATGAACAGTAATGACATTTATATTTGATAACAAGGAGGATATTGGTCAGTTTCCAGTTAGTTTCTGAATCTGAAAGCATTAGTCATCCTCACTTCTTTTCTCTCCCTCACTTGCAATGTTGATTACTATTTATTCTTGAAATTCTCTTCCTACTTGGGTACGGCATAGTACTTTTCTGGTCCTGATTTTATTTCTTCAACCACTTTCCTTTTGGTCGACTCCTATTTTAACTCTCTCTCTAGTAGTACAAGGAGGATAAAAAGCAAAGTATCCAGAAGAAAAAGAAGCATCAAAGAAGGTTTGTAGTAAGTGCAGAGATACATTTGAATGTAATCTGAACACAGAAGGAAGGCACTTCTAGGTAAAGATTCTAGGGTGGGAGGAAAAGTGTCAAAGCAAGTGTTCTTTCTGGAGTCTGCAAGTGATGTGACTGGGAGTGTGGGTGTAAACAAGGAGACATTCCACTTGAGACTGGAGAAAATATTATTCTTTACAAAGGTATCTGAAATTTAAAAGGAGGAGTTTAGATAAAATAAATACATTAACTTAAATAGTAATTTTTAATGGAAGAAGAAATTTGGGGGCCGAGGATTTCCTCAGTGCCTCTCAAATTGTACTGCATTGGCTAATGCCAACAGGACAGTATTTTTTTTTTTTTTTTTACAAGAAACCCACTATGTTGACTACGGCTCTTGAGTTGTTTTCACTTCCCTAAGAATTTAAAAGGGGATGATGCCATTGAAATTTGAGGACATTTGTCAGGGAAGTCTTAGTTTTTCAGTGGGCAGTTTCAGAATTCTAGACTTTGTCGAGAATAGAAAGATGATCTCAGTTTAATGTCATTGTTTTAGTCATGAGAAACTGAGATCCAAGGGGCTGCTATAGTTTCTACAAGATCGCAGAATTAGTTGATAATATTGCTGGGATTCAAACTCAGGTCTTTTCAACTCCCAAGTCCTATCCTCCCTCTCCATGCTCTGTGGTCTGCTGAGTTCTGCACAGGGACCACAAAGAATAGGATAGTGAACCACCAAAGCTGCACCTGGCCCACAGAGCTACCACGTATCCTGGGAACTAGTAAGGGAAGTCAGATCACTGTATCATCTCTTCAAAATTTCTAAAGCACAATGCACACGTTATTTCATTTGGCCCTCAGTAAGGCAATTCGTCATTCTTAAAAAGATAGAACTAAATTGAGTTTTATTTATTTCACATTTTTTGGATAACTTTTATATGCCATATACAATAGCAGGTTAGGGCTAGAACGTTGAATAACTTCTTTGTCTTCAAGAGACCTACAATCTATTTCAGGAGGCAAAAGTGAATAGATACAGAATAATGTGGTATTACAATTAAGGTATCAGAAATGTACTAGAGGTACATAAAAGAGACTGATATTTCTTGGTGGTGTTGGGCAGTACCTCATCAAAGAGGTGACATATGTTCTCCAGATTGGAGGTAAGAGCATTCATGCACAAGAGATAATCTATATAAATGATTGAAGTTGTTTAAAAATAATGCCAGGGTGTGTTTTGGAAAAGGTAAGCACCTTCATGAAGTTGAAGCAGGATCTCTTAAGGGAGCAGAAGCAGAGAGAGAGAGGTTTGGGGACCTAAGGAATTGGGAACCATGAGAGTTTTTAAGTAAAATGCTTTTTAGGATTATAACCATACCAGTGGTGGAAGCTGGGTAACAGATGTTTGGAGGCTTTTGCAGTGGTCTGGGGTAGGGAAAAGGAAAGGATGAGATCCTAACCTTGGATTATGGATGTGGGCTGTAGAATAGAGGGACAGATTCTAAGCTGCTGTGGCCAATGTAACAGGACTTGATGTTTCTGAATATGAAAAGGGGCCAAGAGTGAGGAGGCTAGAATGGCTCAGATTTCTGGTCTGAGAGGGTGGGTGGAGACTATTGATTACTTCAGTGGAAATAGAAAGCACAGTGGTCAAGTACTGTTCAAAGGAAGATAGTACATTTCGTGTGGGATCTTTTGGATCCAAGTGCCTGGGAGATAGAAATGAAGCAGTCGGAAATACCAATCAGAACCTTGAAAGTATAACATACATTTTACAAAGTGTTTTTTTTTTTTTCTTAAATAAGAATCTAACAAGGGGTTGCCAGGGCTGGAGGTGGGGATAGGGATGGAAAAATAGAAAGAAGCTGGTAAAAGGGTACGAACTTGTAGCTAGAAGGTTTGAGGATCTCACGAAAACATGATGACTACCGTTGATAATATTATATTGTATAATGAAAATTTGCTAAGAGAGTAGAACTTAAACATTCTTGCAAAAAAAAGTATGAGATAAATATGTGAGGTGATGGATGTATTGACTAACCAGATAGTGTGTGTGTGGGGGGTCCTTTCACAGTATGTCAAACATCATGTTGTACATTCTAAATAACTTACAATTAGTCACACCTCAATAAACTGAAATGAAAAACATTTGAGTCAAAAAGTTTGGCTTACTTTTAGAATTGCAAGTGAAAAGGAAAGTGTAATAATTTATTTCTGGATTTACAAAGAAAACTGACAAATATTTATACCTTTCAAAAACAAATGTTAATTTAAATATTATTCTAGACCAAAAAAAAAAAATTATTTGCTGAGATAACAATCAGAATGATAGACTTTTTCAGGGTTAAATTTTATGTTCGATTGGCAAAGCTACAACCTCTAAAGTCCAGGAACAGCTCCTTTGTTAGAAAAAAACCGTTTGCAAGATCAGTTTTATGATGCAGATATCTGCTTTTCTGCAGCTGCAGGGAAGAGAAAATGCTTCCTCCTTATTTTTCTGAGATGTGTTTCACCAACTTTTTTCAGGCTAAGCACTGGAATTCCACTAGTTAGCAACAAGAATAAAGGAGGCAGGCCTGAAAGGCTCAACATTTACATGGGAAGTAATAGGGCAGAATAATATTTTTATTAACAATTGAATTTATGGAGCATGTAAGGTTTTGTACCTGCAGGAGACAGTTGGGCCCAGAGGTCTGTGAGTGATTGATTCATGGATGATAATTAAAGTGGTGGGAGTAGATGAATCCCTCTGGGAAGACAGTTAAGGGTGAGGGAAGAAGAAACCCAGGACAGGCCCCCTTGCTGGCCAGCATCTCTGCTCTGGGTGTGGCCCCGGGTCTCACAATTATCAAGGGCCACAGTGAAAACCCAACCAAGGGCTTAGGCCCAGGTCTAGTGAGCTTTCCTCTGTGCTGGGGCTCAGCCATTTGTTGTTATAATTGTACATCGTTATTATAATGATGTTTTGACCTCTAAGAGTTCTGGTGCTGTCAGAGGCACATTGCAGCTTCAGTTCTGCCACTGTCTTCCCTAACATTCCTTTTGAATATTTACTATGTGCTGTTCATGCACCAAGCCAAGCCCCTTCTCAGAAATTCTGGGAGACATGTACAGTTGTTATTTTATAAAAGAGGAAATTGAAGCTTAGAGGAGCTTAGAGCAATGAGTATCTTGCCCAGGGGCACTGTTCTCATGTGTTGGAACTAGGATTCAACTCACATGGCCTCTGTGCCCCAGGGCCTGGCCACATACTGTCCTGATGAGTGATATAAATCTCTCCTCACAGCGTAGGGTTTGGATGTGAGGCTGCCTTTTACCTCCTGTCATGATCTGAGGAGGAAGGAGAACTAGTTTTTGTTTATTCCTCCCCTCTTTACTGTCCTCTGTTGACGGGTTAATTATATGATGACTCAGGTCGTTGTCAGATGGGGAAGAACCTAGAGTAAAATCATCAGGGTCGATGCTCAGTAAGACACAGTGTGCCTTGTTTTAAAGCCAGTGAAAATCTGACAAGAGAAACACTGTAAGAGTAAATATGGACATGAGCATTTCACTGTGTGAGGCAGAGTGCTAGCTACCATGTAAGGCAGAGATGACTAAGAACTATCCCTCTGACTTCAGGGCCCTTACAGTCTAGTGGTGAAGACAGGCATCCAATGTTAGTTGTAAGTCAAGTCGGAATCAAAGTTATAAACACTAAATTGTAATTGGAATGTAGAGACTGGCTTGGAGGACCGGAGGAAACCTTGGAGAAAGGACTGGCAGAATGAGTAGAAATTAAAGAGAAAACAGGAAGAAAACAGAGGATATGGGGAGGGTAGGAGGGAGGAAATTGGAAGTGTTGGAGATCCAGGTTGTTTGGGTCAGTTGGAACATGGGTATCAGATCAAACTATGGAAAAGTTAGTCACCAGAACCCAATTAAGTGAATGTTAATTCCCGAAGGATCAGTTCACTGAAGTCAACATACTGAATTCATCAAATTATCAATTTACTTAACATTGTTTTAAAAAGTATTCATTTTGTGGATAAAAAAAGCTGTGGTATATATACACAATGGAGTACTATGCAGCTGTAAGAAAGAAAGATTTCTTATCCTTTGAGACGACATGGAGGGGTCTGGAAAGTGTCATCCTAAGCGAAACAAGCCAAACAGAGAAAGACAAGTATCATATGATCTCACTTCCTCATGGAATATAATGAACATAACAGTTTGAGGCATAGGGTAGTCCCAGAGATGTGGACGTGGGGTACAGTCTGATAATCCCCAGACGAGGGGATGGTGGGGGAGAGATAAACCTTAGAACTTATATGCATGTGTGCATGAGCAATAGACATGGACAACAAAGCTGGGGACAGGGCAGGGAGGGAGAGGGAGGGAGGAATCGTTGGGGGGGGAGAGAAACATCTGTAATAAAAATATATTAATTAAATTTTTAAAAGTATTCATTTTGAATATATTCCATAATTGTTAATATAGTCTTTTTGAAAATATCTAATGAATATCTTTGCTGTAGTAGCATTTTACATATATTTTTGTTCAGTTTTCTGAGGGTAAGTATTTAATATTATGGAGTGTTTTTATATTTTATAAAATATTCCTGAGTATACTCAATGAATATATATTTTCTTGTGAATATATAATAACAACTGCAACGATTCATATGAGAAATTTTCACTTTATACTATTATCCTGATTTTTTTATAGTAAAATTCTATTTTACCAATATATTGATATTTTTAAATATTTTCAATTTCACAGATGTTCACAAGCCTGCCAAATTTACTGGCTTATCAAAATGTAAAAACGCTTGTTTCTATATTTTTTATGGTTCACAACAGTTTTTATTGCCTGGGAGAAATTTACCATATTTTATAAATTTCATGTGGACTGGTTTTTATTATGTGGAACTTGCCTGAACCACAATCGTCTTCAGTCTCATTAAAGAGACTAGAGATTGGAAGGGATGTACTAGGAAAATAGACAGAGGGAAACACACAGAAAGGAGGTATGTGAAGCCCCAAAATGTGGGTTCTGGCTCCTCCCAACCTTTTAAAAGCACCTCAATTCATTCAATACAAATTCTGTAAACACACTTTTAGTAAGAAAATCATTTGATAACTTGTTCATTAGGTTGAATTTACTTTTGGGGCAGAATTGTCCTACCAACCCTGTACAGAGTTCATGGGATAAGATGTGCCCGGATGAAGTGGATTTACCCACAATTGACAACTGGTGGAGGAATGGCTTTGTCAGAACTGAGTTTTGGAAAGATAAGATTCTATGGGTCATTGCTCAATGAAGTTAGACCCCTCCACAAAGTGTGAAAGGTCACCATAAACTAGTGTGGGATAGAAACATCTTTAAGGAACATATTGAGGTGATTTCCTTCATCTAAATGAAAATTTACTTAGTAAGAATTATGGGAGCATAGACTCATCTGGATCTAACAGAGTTATCAGAGTAAAAGATAAAATCAACACTTCTAGTGACAGAATATGTTTTGACATTGGATGATAGGCATGCAGTACAATATACAGATCATGCATCATAGAAATGTACACTTGAAACCTATATAATCTTATTGACCAGTGTCACCCCAATACATTTAATGAAAAAAGAATGAGTATTCAAAAGAAAAATTCAACACTTAATTGGGAGTAAACTTTATATATTCCTTTAAAGACAAGGACTATTTCTAATGCAAATTTAAGGTACATTGTGTTTTTCCCAAGGAAAAGGAAGTGGTGAAGACAAAAATATTCTTCATGATTTTGCTTTAAACAAATCTTTCAATAGTTTAATTAAATAATGAAAGTACATTTCTTTTGCTATCTCTATGTATCTACATATTTAGATATCTCTATCTATCTATCATCTATCTATCTATATTTAGATTTAGACATAGAACTATTTTTCAAAGCTGCAACTTACTTGATGCTTTGTCTTAGTTGACAGTTGTCATGAGAAACTCCCAAAACTATATATAGCAATCCAACTCCTTTTCTCTGTCTTATCATGTTCCTGCCTTTTTGTTTTGTTTTACATTTGTTACCTCCTCTAAATCCTCTGTCATTTCCTTGGTCAGATAATCTCTGTGGCTCACCTGGTTAATTGCATTAATTTTCTAAATCAGCCTCCCTGTTTCTTCTCTTTGCTCAATCTCTCACCTATACATCTGCCATAGTGATCTTCTTCAAGCACAACAATGTATCACACCTTAGCTTTAAAACAAACCAAACCCAAAATCCAAAACAGAAAACAGGAACTCTTATTTCCCAAAGAGTAGCATTCATAACTTCCTAAACTTGGCCTGTATATCCCTTTCAGACACACCTGTAAGTTACCCTTTCCTTAAAAACCATCTCCCCATCTCAGACACTATTTTCCAGCCACATTAAAATATTATCTACTGTTTCCTCAAATTTTCCTGCATCCATTCTCTACCTTTTAAAGCATACCTAATTCAGATATTGCCACCTCCTATTTCTCCACTTGGAATTAATCTGTCTTCTTAGTAGAGCTGCCCCAACACTTCCTGCTCCAAAAGCTAACACCCACTGTCTTGTGTTGTAACATCTGTGCGTATATCTTCTTTTCCAGTCTAGGCTGTAATTTTCAGGAAGACATGGACTCCATAGCATTTGTCCTAGTGCTTTATAACAAGTAAGGATTCAATGATTGTTTATTAAATTGAGTTCTTTCAGCAGAAAAATGAAGTCTCAGGTCACGTACTCTTCGGGAGCTCCAAATGGGACTCTTGATAGAAAGAGGAAAATGACAACCTGGCTCTTCTCTAGGCTGTGGAGAGTTTCTGATCCAACTCTGTTTCAAGTGACCTTGGTGGCTGCTCTATTGGCTACTGTTCTTGGTGAGTAATAGACAAGTTTAAATTGGCAAAAAAACATTCAAGATCATCCACTTATTCATGTTTAAGACTAACAAGGAGATGATTAAGCTTTTAGCAGAAATCTGTCTACAACAACCAAGGGTTTGTTTGACCAAGAATTTGGATTTATTTGAAATTTGGAATTTAAGGGGATTTATAGTTACTTGGAATTTAGGGGAAATTTGCTTTACCCCTGAAAGAGGCAGTTTTCTAGCCTCTTGTTGCTAGATTTCTTCTTTAAGAATTTTCCAATCTGTCTTTCACCATGACGTGAGACAAATCTATATTATGTATCAGCTTGATTGAACAGTCTTCACTGCCAGAGGGTTTATCCAGAATGAAGAGGGGAAGTGTGTACTACTGGGACTCTTAAAAGCTAAATCGGTTCTGTATTTGATTCTTGTTAGGAAAGCAGGATAAAGATTTTTATATTTCAAGGGCTTCATATTCCTCCTTTGTATCATTCAAAATCCAAAAGGTACAAAAAAGTAAAAATTAAGTATGTTATTCTTATTCATCTCCCAATCGCCCAGTTTCCCTTTCCTGAGGCAACTAATATTATATAAAGTTCTTTTTCATGAAAATACTATATTTCTGTTGAAGAAAATTGCACGGACTTTTGACTTTGCACAGGTGCATCTGAGTGGACAGAGATGGAAAATCTGATAGGCTGATGAAATAATGCCTGCCATCCTTATAAAATAAATTATGTATAATAGAGAAAGGATGAAAAATTTCTGCCTTTTACCATTATCATTGATCAACAAACGTATTACTGATCGGTTGCTGGATTCATTGAACCATAGAGATAATAGGAGTTATTCTTTTTCTTGATTAGAGGAGAAAAGGGGTTTCTACTCTAAAAATTATAGAACTGAAAACACTAAGATGCCGTGTCCCAACCTATAACTTTGGGTGCTCTTTGTCATTTCGGTCCAGGCGATTGTGGTATTCCACCCAATTTACCCTTTGCTTCTCCAACACAAGAGTTGAATAAGACAAGCTATGAAGTTGGAACTATTTTGAAATATACCTGCCGCCCTGGCTACAGTAAGACAGGTTCAAGAAATCAGATACTTATGTGTCAGAAAGGAGGCACATGGTACTACAGTAACTTCTGTGTCAGTAAGTACGAACATTTATTTTCTTATGCGTACTTTTCCTTTTTTGCAAAGTTGTCTCTGGAACTAAGCTCTCTGAATGCAAATGAAAACTTTTGGTCACTAAGAAACCACCCAGTTTGTCAGTGATTGATTCCAATTTACATGTGTGCCACTTTTGGGAAAACATAAACTAGCCAACAAACAAATAAATAAATAAAACAGAAAAATTAGGAACTACCTTGTTGCATTGAAAAGTAAGTCTGTTCTTTACAATGTCACTTAGCAAACAATTCTTTCAGACATTAACTACAAATTCAATTTTAATATGTTGAAAACCAGATTCACTCTTTACAAAGTTATAAAAATTTATATGGCTAGAACATGGCAATGCGGTTTTCAAAGAAACCTCACCCAAGTATCTGCTGTGTTTGGAAAAAGATGCTGTGCTTCTCTGTCAGTTGAGACTATATCCTGTGATGTTTTCCCAATAGCAAGGGTGTCTAATCCCTACTTACCTGTTGTTCCTGTTGTGACCAAGGACAAGCATTTTTGAATGGCTGAAATTCAAAGAACATGTTGTGGACACCAAGTGCAGCTTAGCTGCCTGGTCAGTGTGTTAAATCCTGGGCCATAGACTCCATGACCATAGTATTTAACTGACCCCTTTCTCTATTGGTAAAATATACCAGAAAAAAAATAAGATCAATTTTTAAATGTATTATATCTCTAAAGTAAAAATTCAATGAGTCAGGATGAGAAGTTTGAATCTGAACCTCTGGTCTTTCTGGAAACAAAGGGCAAAGGCTAATCAACAAGTCTTCTTTTCTAATGTCATATCTGTGAGTACTTGAAATCACTAACCCTCATTTTAACTTTTCTCTCAGAGAAACATTGCAGCAACCCAGGAGAATTACATAATGGGCAAGTGATCATTAAGACAGATTACTCTTTTGGATCACATATAGAATTCAACTGTTTAGAAGGGTGAGTATAAGGCCACCTAGAAACAACACTTTAAAAAATTTAATAGCTAAGCCTGGCCAGTGTGGCTCAGTGGTTGAGCATCAACCCATGCACCAGAGGTCACTGGTTCGATTCCCAATCAAGGCATATGCCTAGGTTGTGGGCCAAATTCACAGTAGGAGCATGCAGGAGGCAGCCAATTGCTGTTCTCCCTCACTGATGTTTCTATCTCTCTCTCCATCTCACTTCCTCACTCTGTAAAATCAATAAAAAAAAAATTAATAGCTAATATGGTTTTTATTTCAGAAATAAAAATGATGTAAAAAGGTATACACAGAATCCTCGCTTTTACTCAGTTGACAGCCACATCATTCCTTCTGTCCTTACACAGGGATCTGTTTTTATACCTTTTTAAAAAAATTTTATTTTTGTTACAGATGTTTCTCCTTTTTTACATTTGACACCCTCCTCCCCATCCCCCCCACCCCGTCCCCAGCTTTGTTGTCTATGTCCATTGGTTATGCGTCCATGCATATAAGTTCTGTGGTTTATCTCTTCCCACCCCCCCCACCCCCCTCTTCTGAGGGTTGTCAGTCTGTACCCTACTTCTGTGTTTCTGGGTCTACCCCATTCCTCAGACTGTTATATTCATTATATTCCATATATAAGTGAGATCATGTGGTATTTGTCTTTTTCTGCTTGGCTTGTTTCACTTAGGATAATACTTTCCAGGTCCCTCCATGTCGTCTCAAAGGATAAGAGATCTTTCTTTCTTACAGCTGCATAGTACTCCATTATGTATATGTAGCACACCTTTTTTATCCATTTGTCTACTGATGGACATTTGGGCTGTTTCCAGATCTTAGCTATTGTAAATAGTGCTGCTATGAACATAGGGGTACATATATTCTTTCTGATTGGTGTTTCAGGCTTCTTAGGATATATTCCTAGAAGCAGGATCACTGTGTCAAATGGAAGTTCAATTTTTAATTTTTTGAGGTAACACCATATTGTTTTCCATAGTGGCTGCACCAGTCTGCATTCCCACCAGCAGTGCACTAGAGTCCCCTTTTCTCCACATCCTCGCCAACACTTGTTTGATGATTTGTTGACGGCGGCCATTCTGACAGGTGTGAGGTGATACCTCATTGTTGTTTTAATTTGCATCTCTCTGATGATTAGTGATGGTGAGCATTTCTTCATATGTCTCTTGGCCATTTGTATGTCCTGTTTGGAGAGGTGTCTATTCAGCTCCTCTGCCCATTTTTATTTTATTTTATTTTATTTATTTATTTTTTTTATCCTCACCCAAGGACATTTTTCCATCTTTTTCCATCTTTTGTTCAGGTAGAGTGGGAGGGAGAGAGAAGAACAGAGAGAGAGAGAAACATCGATGTGAAAGGAACACATCGAGTGGCTGCCACCCGCACAACCGACCAGGGCTGGGGACAAACTGCAACCGAGGTACGTGCCCTTAGCGGGAACCGAACCCGGGTCTCTCAGGACCGCAGGCCGACGCTCTAACCGCTGAGCCAAACCGGCCAGCTCTGCCCATTTTTAAATTGGGTTCTTTGTCTTCCTTTTGTTGAGTTGTATGAGCACTCTCTATATTTTGGAAATTAACCCCTTATCTGTTGTATCATTGGCAACGATGTTCTCCCATACAGTGGGTTGCATTTCCATTTTGATGATTGTTTCTTTTGCTGTGCAGAAGCTTTTGAGTTTGATGTAGTTACATGTGTTCATTTTCTCCTTTGTTTCTGTTGCCTCGGGTGATGTATCAGTGAAAATTCTGCTGCATATGATGTCCGAAATTTTGTTGCCTACATTTTCTTCTAGAACTTTTATGGATTCCAGGTCACATTTAAGTCTTTTATCCATTTTGAGTTTATTTCTGTGTATGGTGTAAGTTGATGGTCTAGTTTCATTTTTTTGCATGTAGCTGTCCAATTTTCCCAACACCATTTATTAAATAGGCTGTCTTTACTCCACTGTATGCTCTTGCCACCTTTGTCAAATATTAATTGAGCATATTGCCTTGGGTTCATTTCCGGGTTCTCTAGTCTGTTCCACTGGTCCATATGCCTGTTCTTGTCCCAGTACCAGGCTGTTTTGATTACAGTCGCTTTGTAGTATAACCTGATATCTGGTATTGTGATCCCACCTACTTTGTCCTTCTTTTTCAAAATTGCTGTGGCTATTCAGGGTCTTTTTTGGTTCCATATGAACTTTTGAAGTATTTGTTCTATTTCTGTAAAATATGTCATTGGTATTTTGATGGGGATTGCATTGAATCTATAGATTGCTTTGGGCAATATGGACATCTTAATGATGTTAATTCTTCCAATCCATGAACGAGATATGTGCTTCCACTTTTTCATATCTTCCTCTATTTCTTTTTTCAATATCCTGTAGTTTTCTGCAAATAGGTCCTTTACTTCTTGGGTTAAGTTTATTCCTAGGTATCTTAATTTTTTTGCTGCTATGGTAAATGGGATTGTTTTTTCAGTTTCTCTTTCTGTGAGTTCATCATTGGTGTATACGAATGCCGTCGATTTCTTGACGTTAATTTTGTATCCTGTTACTTTGCCAAAGTCATTTATTAAGTCTAGTAGATTTTTGATGGAGTCTTTAGGGTTTTCTAAGTATAATATCATGTTGTCTGCAAATAATGACAGTTTCACTTCCTCCTTTCCAATTTGGCTCCCTTTTATTTTTTTCTTCATGTCTGATTGCTGTGGCTGACTCCCAGTACAATGTTAAATAAGAGTGGCGAAAGTGGACATTCCTGTCTTGTTCCTGTTCTTAAGGGAAATGTTTTTTAGTTTCTGCTCATTAAGTATGATGTTGGCTATAGGTCTTTCATATATGGCCTTTATTATGTCGAGATATAATCCCTCTATTCCCACATTGCTGATCGTTTTTATCAGAAATGGATGCTGGATTTTGTCGAATGCTTTTTCAGCGTCTATTGATAATATCATGTGGTTTTTATTCTTCATTTTGTTTATGTGGTGTATCACATTTATTGATTTGCAAATATTATATCAGCCTTGCATTCCTGGGATGAATCCCATTTGGTCATGGTATATAATTTTTTTTGATGTATTGCTGGATCCGATTTGCTAGTATTTTGTTCAGAATTTTGGAGTCTATTTCATCCGGGATATTGGCCTGTAGTTTTGTGTCTTGGTAGTGTCTTTTTCTGGTTTTGGAATTAGAATTATGCTGGCCTCATAAAATGAATTTGGAAGTCTTCCTTCTTCTTGAATTTTTTGAAATAGTTTGAGGAGAATGGGTGTTAGTTGTCTTTTGAATGTTCTATAAAACTCCCCCGTGAAGCCATCCGGGCCTGGGCTTTTGTTTGCTGAGAGAGTCTTGATTACCTCTTCAATTTCTTCTGTTGTTATTGGTCTCTTCAAGTTTTCTATCTCTTCCCGGTCCAGTTTTGGGAGTCTGTGTTTCTAGAAATTTGTCCATTTTGCTTAGTCTGTCAAATTTGTTGACATATAATTGTTCATAGTAGCTGTTAACGATCTTTTGTATTTCTGTGGTGTCAGTTGTTACTTCTCCTCTTTCATTTCTGATTTTGTGTATTTGGGTTCTCTCTCTTTGTTTCTTGGTGAGTCTAACTAAGGGTCCATCAATCTTGTTTATCTTTTCCAAAAAACAGCTCTTTGTTTCATTGATCCTTTGAATTGTTTTTTTTGGTCTCTATGTCATTTATTTCTGCTGTGATCTTTACTATTTCCTTCCTTCTACTTGCTCTGGGGTTTTCTTTTTGTTTGCTTTCTAATTCTTTAAGTTGTGAGGTTAGACAGTCAATTAGAAATTTTTCTTGTTTCTTGAGGTAGGCCTGTAATGCTATGAACTTCCCTCTCAGAACTGCTTTTGCTGCATCCCATAGATTTTGTTTTGTTGTGTGTTCATTTTCATTGTTTTCCAGGAAGTTTTTAATTTCTTCCTTGATCTCCTCGGTGACCCATTCATTGTTTAATAACATGCTATTTAGCCTCCATGTGTTGAAATGTCTTTGCATGTTCTTGTTGCAATTGATTTCTAGTTTCATGCCATTGTTATCTGAGAAGATGCTTGATATGATTTCAATTTTCTTGAACTTGTAGAGATTTAGTTTGTGTCCTATCCTATAGTCTATCTTTGAGAATGTCCCATGTGCACTTGAGAAGAATGTGAATTCTGTAGTTTTGGGGTGTAATTCTCTATAGATATCTATTAAATCCATTTGATCTAGTGCTTCATTTAGAATCTCTGTTTCCGTGCTAATTTTTTGTCTAGAGGATGTATCCAGTGGTGTCAACGGGGTGTTTTAGTCCCCTGCTATGATTGTATTGCTATCGATTTCCCTTGGAAGTCCTCCACAAGATTTTTAATATATTTTGGTGCTCCTATATTGGGTGCATATATGTTTATCAAGGTTATATCTTCCTGTTGGATAGATCCTTTCAATATTATGTAGTGGCCTTCTTTGTCTCTACTTATGGTCTTCATTTTGAAATCTAATTTATCAGATGTGAGTATACTATCCCAGTTTTTTTTTGCTTTCCATTTGCTTGGAAAAATTTTTTTCAATCCCTTCACTTTCAACCTATGTGAGTCTTTTGTTGTGAGGTGGGTCTCTTGTAAACAACATATAGATGAGTCATGCTTTCTTATCCAATCAGCTACTCTGTGTCTTTTTATGGGAGCATTCAGTCCATTTACATTTAAGGTGATTATTGATATGTACTTATTTCTTGCCATTTTTGTTTAGTTTGGTTATATTTTTCTTCCTATTTTCTTCTACTAATTACAGCAGTCCTTTTAACATTTCTTGTAGTGCTGGTTTGGTATTAATGTATTCCCTTAGCTTTTTATTGTCTGGGAAGCTCTTTATTTGACCTTCTATTTTGAATGACAGCCTTGCTGGGTAGAGTAGTCTTGGATTCAGATCCTCGTTTTTCATGACCTTGATTATTTCATGCCATTCCCTTCTGGCCTATAGTGTTTCTTGTGAGAAGTCA